CCTCTGCTGGCCAGCTTGAAAAGTGTCACTGACTGTGTTTAGGGAAAGAAAAGCTATTTATCACTGATTGAATATTAAGCTTCAACAGTACACTGGGGGAGGGGTGGTACAGTGGCGTAGCGGGTAAGGCCACCTGCAGTGCCGGCTTCTCACATGGACACAAGTTCAAAACCCGGCGGATCCACTTCTGATCCAGCTCTCTGCTACAGCCTGGGAAAGCAGTGGAAAATGGCCCAAGTCCTTGGGCCCCTGCACCCACATAGGAGACCCGGAGGAGACCTAGAGGAGGCTTCTGGCTGCTAGCTTCGGATTGGCACAGCTCCAGCCATTGCGGCCAATTGGGGAGTGAACCAGCGGATGGAAGACCTCTCTCTCACTGCCTCTCCTTTTCTCTGTAACTGTGACTTTCAAGTAAAATAAATAAATCTAAAAAAAAAAAAAAAAAACAGTACACTGGGTACTGAGACAGAAGCCTTGTGCATTGGAAAGGAAGGAAAAAGATCATATAGCTATAAGCACAGAGCAAGCCAATCCAGAAATAAGTGGCAACAAAACCCACAAAATAAAGCTGTCTCCTTCAGTTTGTTCCTTGGCCACCTTTACCTGGTGTGGTCCTGTCCGCCACTTGTGTGAAAGGATCGCCATGAGTGGGCAAGATCTTTGCCTTTTTTAAGGATTGATTAATTAATTAATTTATTTATTTATTTTGAAAGTTGGAGTTACAGGAGTGTTATAGAAGGAGAGGGAGGAGCCAGCACTTGTGGCACAGTGGGCTAAGCCTCCACCTGCAGTCATCCCATACGGGTGCTGGTTCATGTCCCGGCTGCTTTTCTTCTGATCCAGCTCTCTGCTATGGCCTGGGAAAGTAGTGGAAGATGACCCAAGTGTGTGGGCCCCTGCACCTGCTTGGGAGACCCGGAAGCTCCTGGCTCCTGGCTTCAGATTGGCCCAGCTCCAGCTGTTGCAGCCATCTGGGAAGTAAACCAGTGGATGAAAGACCTCTCTCTCTGTCTCTCCTTCTCTCTGTCTATAACTCTGCCTCTCAAATAAATAAATAAATATTTTTTAAAAATGTTCCAACAATAAAGTTTTTTTTTTTAAAAGGAGAATGAGAGGGCATGGGACACACACACACACACACACACACACACACAAACATAGAGAGAGACAGAGAGACAGAGAAAGAGCGCTTTCATCCACTGGGTCACTCCCCAGATGGCTGCAATGGCCTGTGCTGAAGCCTTGAATTCCATCTGGGGCTCCCATATGGGTGCAGAGACCCAAATACTTGAGTCATCTTCTACTGCTTTTCCCAGGCCATTAGCAAGGAGCTGAATCAGACATGGAGCAGCCAGGACTCAAGCCAGCGTCCATATGGGATGCTGGCATCACAGGCATCAGCTTAACCCACTATGCCACAATACTGGCCCCAAGATCCTTGCCTTGTACCCTATGACTGCAGGCGCCAGAGTGGCCTGGCACCATACTGAGGAGGCAGTTCAGGGCCAGCAGCACCTCAGACTCTTAGACATCTCAAAGGCCCTGCTTCTAGCCCTGCAGCCAATCTGAGAGGTTTCAAGCTGGGCTGCTGACATGCCTAACAATCCAAACAGCCGGGCCCACCTAGAAGTCCATGGTCTTCCAAGAGCTGCATTTTCACATGCTCCATGGGAAACAGAAGTTTTCAAAAGCATCATGAGTTCTTTAAGCAACTCACTGTCAGTTCTCTGGCTGGAAGAGAGCAGGGGGCAACTTCCACATGCCCACCCAGACATGAGAAAGGAAGCAGGCCCGTGCACCTCTGCCTTTGCTGGACAGAGTCAGGGTTGTTGTATAGTACAGCCCTAGACTCCCTCACTGCTAGGTGTCCTTGCTTTCCCCTTGCTGATGAGCCTTTGCTCCCAAGGCAAGGCACCAGAGGTGGAATGTGCCAGCCCGTGGGCCCACACCAGGGCCCTACTTAGGTTCCTCTAGTGCTGTGAGCAGGATGGGACCTGGGCCACACCACAGTCCCCTCTGTCTCTGGGTCGCTGTTGGATGGCTTACTGTGCCCCCTCCCCTTGCCCTTTCTTGATGCAGGAAAACTTTGGGCAGGGCACAGATTTGGGTCAAGTATTCACTGCCCTGAGTGGATCCTCACTGCTGGTAACCACACGGCCATCCGGGCCCCGCATCCTCCCACCATGCAGGCCTCTCCTCTCAGACAGCTGGTTCTTATCTGCCTCCCTTGTTCCCGCCTGAGGCAGGCTGCCCTGGCCTCATGCTGATACACACATGCTGTCCTGAATGCGGCATGATGACTTCAGCCCTGAGCAGCTGCTTTCCTCCCAGCCCAGGCCTGCTCCCAAGCCTTGCAGGGTTCCCTGTGTCTCCCCCACAGCAAATCTGCAAGTTGCCTGCCTCACTTTGGGGGCAGGGGCCCCCTTGACCCTTCCAGTGTGGCCCATGACTCTCCCCATCTCAAGGCCCTCCTTGGCCAAATCTGCCTTTGCATTCTTGCAGCACTTACCCTCTCTTCCAGACCGCTACTGTTGCTATGGTTTGTAGACATTAGTCTTCAAAGGTAGGCGCACATATTTCACTTCCTCACTCATCCTCAGTAGCACCTTGAACTATTTTTTAAAGTGTTTCCTTCTGTAGTTCTCTCTCCCTACACACACACACAAACACACACACACACACACACGGTGGGGCTTTTGTGGAAAATGGAATTAAAAGATAATGTGAGGAGGCTGGCGCCACGGCACACTAGGCTAATCCTCCGCCTTGTGGCACCAGCACACCAGGTTCTAGTCCCGGTCTGGGCGCCGGATTCTGTCCCGGTTGCCCCTCTTCCAGGCCAGCTCTCTGCTGTGGCCCGGGAGTGCAGTGGAGGATGGCCCAGGTGCTTGGGCCCTGCACCCCATGGGAGACCAGGAGAAGCACCTGGCTCCTGCCATCGGATCAGCACGGTGCACCAGCCGTAGCGCGCTGGCCGCGGCAGCCATTGGAGGGTGAACCAACGGCAAAGGAAGACCTTTCTCTCTGTCTCTCTCTCTCTCACTGTTCACTCTGCCTGTCAAAACAAAACAAAACAAAAAGATAATGTGAGGGGCTGGCATTGTGATGTGGTTGGGTAAAGCCACCACCTGCAATGCTGACATCACATGTGGGTGCTGCTTCGTGTCCCAGCTGCTCGACTTCTGTTCCAGTTCCCCGCTAACAGCCTGGGAAAAGCAGTGGAAGATGGCACAGGTATTTGGGCCCATGCTACCTATGTGGGAGACCTGGAAGAAGCTCCTGGCTCCTGGCTTTGGCCTGGCCCAGCTCTGGCCATTGCAGCCATCTGGGGAGTGAACCAGTGGATGAGAGATCTCTTTCTTTCTCTCACTCTGTCTCTCCATCTCTCTGTCTCTCTCTGTAACTCTTTCACATAAATAAAGAAATAATAAAGAAATCTTATTTTTTTAAAGTGTGAATTTTTCCATGAACCTGTTGAAGACTCCTTGTGTAGAAGATCCATGAGGGATCTTCTAAAAGTTCATGGAAAATGCATATTATCCAAAAAAGTATGCATAGATTTCAGTTTGCAGCAATATAAACATCTTTTAATTAAAATGTCTATGAACTTTAGAATTATCATTGTGTGTGTGTGTGTGTACACACATATATATTGACCTTGTGAGAATTACAAGGACAATTGAGAACAGATTTATTGCAAACAGAATTCCACCAGTGAGAATTAGGAGCCTAAATGTGAGAAGGGACATCTCCCCTTCACCCTCCCCTCATCATTCTGGGAGGTTAGCTGATTAGGCAGCCTGTAGCCTAGACCCTTGTGGGCTGCAGGCTGGGTATTGGGAAAGGCTGAGTGGTTGGCGATGCCCTGTCTGAGAAGGGCAGCCCCTTGGGTAGAGTGCCTGAGGGTCCTAGATCTCCCTGGGCCTGACTGACACTGAAAATTACACGCCAAAGGACCAGCACAGCTGGTGGCCACTGTCACCCACAGTAGCCTTTCAAAAAAAGCAAACCTTGAAGGTGACTAGTAGAGGGCACCTTTAATAGGCTTTTCGCAGATTTGTAGGCAATTGCGTGCAGTCAGTGCAGGGGCTGCCAGATGGAGATGGGGAACAGTTAGGAAAGTAGGTGTCCTGCCTGGTGTGGCGTTGTGTTCTCCAAGAGGTCATGCACATCACTAATGCTTTTCGCTTCTCTGCAAGGCTAATTCAGTCCCTACTGAGATCTGTTCTAAATGATAGTCCAGCCTGCCTGTGTCACACCGGCTGGGGTGCATTCTCAGGTACAGGCTGCCGAGAAATGTCAGCCTGAACTCCCAGACTTAATTGTTACCAACATTTTATAATCAGGGCATTCGAAAGCCTCAGGCTGCTCCCTCTTGCTATCTGAATCGATACTTAATATATATTTCTTGGCAATCTGTGTGTGTGTGTGTGTGTGTGTGTGTGTGTGCTCAAGTGCAGTTGGGGGGGGTGGCTATGATCTGCCAGCAAAGCTGAATTCTGGAAGGTTGGCCAGTTCATGGCTTTCTGGGTGCTCCCCTCTCCCGCCCCGTGCGGCAGTGTTCTTTAGGCACAGCCCTTACTGGGCTGCACTGCAAACGTGTGCTCGGCCATTTGGATGTGAGTTACAAAATGCCACGATGCTCTCCAGCGTTCTGTTCTTTCACTATTTTGACAATCTGATGGATGGCCTGGCATTAACTCGGAAGAGGACAATATTATCCAGCCTGAATAACGAATCTCCTAAGAAGTACAAAGTTGAAGGATCTTGGTGCACATGAATCTTATTAAATGTGCTTATAAAATGTGTTCTGTCCAAATAAGCTTAGCAGCCCCTAAAATAGCCCTTTCTGGTGCATGTCTGGAACTTTGGCCTGCCTCACAGATCGCTAAGCCAAGATCATTTAGTGAAGTGATGACAGTGTTCTTTGTGCATGGGAAAATGGGAAGTGTTCATTTGAAGTCCTCTGTTGACTAATGGCTCCCCTCTGTCCATCTTAGGGGCGACCCGGTCCCATTGGAATTCAAGGTCCGACGGGTCCTCAAGGATTCACTGGCCCTACCGGTTTATCAGGCTTGAAAGGAGAAAGGGGCTCCCCAGGCCCTCTGGGACCATATGGACCAACAGGAGATAAGGTAAACGCACAAAACAGTTTGACTGAAGCGTGAGCCACAAGTATGAAGGTCAGAAGTTTTCGGTCTCCATTCTGCTCATTTATGGAAATAATGCTATTCCTGAATACTCTGGTGCCAGGCTACATACTTTAACAAGAACAGAGTGGGTGATGTGCTGCTGATGGATCGGCCCATTTCTGGAGAGGCTCCCATTGCAAACAAGCCACAAAGTGAAGTATTAACTGCTTGCTAGATCCGTGCGCTCACTTTGGTGGGAAGTCATGTGGGTTCAAACTGGGCCTGAGTCAGAAGTCCAATTCCCCGAGCAGTGGAGATCGGGAATCCAAGCAAAGAGACTGGCAAGCGAGGGGTCAGAATGCTTGTAAGCAATTCGGGCCACAAATATAGGGAAACATCTGTTAAGAAAGGAGGATTATAGTGTCAGGGAGGCTGGCTGGCTGTTTAAGCAGCTTGCTTTACGTTCTTTGCCTAGCTTAATCACTTGCTATTCGCTCTGTTGGTGCCAGTGGGGTTTCCAAACTAGGATTATGTGAATGGCCAAAGACACGACACCCTGGACAGATGAGATCCACTGCACCTCATCAGTCACATGTACTTGCATATGCACTCCTGGGAGGTGGGGGGCACGGCACACCACATAGGGCTACACGGAGGCTACACTCGGGCATAGAGTGAACTAGAAGAGACTGTGGGAGCAGACTTTCGGAGGATCAAGCAGATGGGGTGCCACCAGTTCCTGACAGAAGTCGTCCTTGGCTTGTTTGAATAACTCAGTGGTGGACTGAATCCACCACTCGGGATAAGCAGGAACTGCACCAAGGTACCTGGTGTGGAGGGTTGTTTGACTGGGGCAGTTATCCATGAGCGGAGGGGGCGGGGGGGCTTGTTAGTTTCCTCAAGGCCCTCCCAGTTTTTCTCCAGTTGTCAAGGCAGCATGAGTCAGTGAGCCTTAATTTGAGACTTTGGCCTATACTGCCTAAGACAACAGCTGGTCTCAGAGCCCAGATATGTCCAAGGCAACATGTAGCATCTTCAAAAAATGTATGAAAAGTATATATGTTACGAAGAAACTGCGCATGCATTTCAAGCCATGTTTGCATATGTTTATCTTTTAATTCCACTTTCCATGAACTTTTTCAAGAGCCCTCATTCAATGTGAAGGAGGTAAAAAAAAAATAAAAATAAAAATAAAAATAAAAAACACTTCTTAAAAGTTCGATCATTGATTCACATACACAGGCCTCCGGAATCCAATGGACATTGGTTGGATTGTCTCTCACCTTCTTCTCCCTCTTCCATTCTTTAGGGTCCCATGGGAGTTCCTGGCTTCCTTGGCATCAATGGGATTCCGGTGAGTGTGTCCCCAGGAGCATCTTTCATCCCACAGTCTAGATGCTGTTTCATGACTCAGGCACTTTGGCCTTAGCAACATCCGGTCTCATGCAGGCATGCTTGGGATCAAGTGGTGAGATATGAGTGGTGAGGTTTGAAGGGCAGTGTTCATACCCAGTTCTCCCTTGGGTTCAGGTCCAGGCAGCCCTAAGGGAAATGGTTGGGGGATGCAAGAATATGTGCAGCCATTTAAAAATCGATATCTTAGCCTAAATGATTTAGGTCTTGTGGGTTGAAGAGAGCTTAGGTTGGAGAAGTCTCAGCTCTTTGGAAAGGAGACAGAGCTGCATTAGAGTATATCCACGCAAATTTTAGGAAAGGCAAGAAGGTGCATGGCATTAGATAGAAAAATACTCGTTAAGAGCTTAATATAATTCATTCTAGTAATTCGGTCTCTTCGGCCTTACCTCATTGCACATTGGATTTCTCTAGTTTTTACAAAGCAACGACTCCAAAGATCACTTGGAGGTAACCTCTTCCATTCGTCCCATTGATGCCTGCTTTGCTAGGGATAAGCGGGGCACTTGGAGCTGATGAGCATCTCCTTTTGTCTATTCCATCCTGCCAAATTGCTTAGTTTCTCCATATGTGTCCTGTATCCCCGGTCAGCCTACCAATGGACATTCCAGGATAACACTTCACCAGCCTGCAAAATACTGAACTTGGAACTTAGGGGTGATCACTTTTTAGTTGTGTCCTTTGGGTTAGGGTTAGGGTTAGGGTTAGGGTTAGGGTTAGGGTTAGTTTGATCCTTAACCTGAGCTATGTTTGCCTATACAGCAGTCATTTTTGATCCTAACAACAGAACTTGGGCAGGAACAGAAAAGATATGCAGTTCCTCTGTTTGAGATAGGCCCTGAAGACTGATTTTATCCTTCCAAAAGCTTCTAAGGGGTCCTTCTGAACCTTATAAAAGCACAGTATGGGAAAGCCCCAGACTTAACAGTTTCTTGTGTTATGGTACTTAATCATCTAGTATCAAAGAAAGGGATTGAATTCTCTATGTGTCAATCATTTTTAAAACAGATTATTTATTGAAAGGCAAAGTTACAGAAAGGCAGAGGCAGAGAGAGAGAGAGAGAGAGAGGTCTTCCATCTGCTGGTTCACTCCACAGATGGCCGCAATGGCCAGAGCTGGGCCGATCTGAAGCCAAGAACCAGGAGCTTCTGGGTCTCCCACAAGGGTGTGGGGCCCAAGCATTTGGGCCATCTTCCACTGTTTTCCTAGGCCATAGCAGAGAGCTAGATTAGAAGAAGAGCAGCTGGGACTTGAATCAGCGGGTTGCTGGCACTGCAGGCAGCGATTTTAACTGCTGTGCCACAGCACCAGCTCCCATGTCAATCACTTTTTAAGATTTGTTTATTTATTTGTAAGTCAAAGAGAGAGGGAGAGATTGGGGTGGGGGGAGAGAGTGAGAGAGAGGTCTTCCATCTGCCGGTTCACTCTTCAAGTGGCCGCAACGGCTGGAGCTAAGCCAATCTGAATCCAAGAGCTTCTTCTGGGTCTCCCACGTGGTTGCAGGGGCCCAGGGATTTGAGCCATCCTCCACTGCTGTCCCAGGTGCATTATCAGAGAGCTGAATCAGAAGTGGAACAGCCAGGACTCGAACCAGCACCCATATGGGATACTGGCACTGTAGGCTGGATCTTTAACCTGCTGTGCCACAGCACTGGCCACTCACCTTTTATTTGTTCCATATACCAAGTCAGTCAGCAGATTTCTGCAAAATGCCCAGACGAAAGAAGTGGACAGAGTTGACCTTCCTTTTATGATATCTGTTGGTCCTTTCTTGTGGCTATGTTCTGGCTACAGCCACTTTAGCTAGAATCTCCATTCACAGTGTGTATCTTCTGGAAGCCAGTGGGTGAGGGAAACTAGCAAACTGGAGGCAGACTCTATCACTCATCCAATGGACCTGGCTTTGCCAAATATGGGCGGGCATTTGGAGTTTGCATTGTTAATATGCCCCTACTCCTTGCTGTCTCTTTTTAATGGGAGCTGAAAGGAAGTGAATCCTATGAGGCCGAGGTCATTTCCAGTTCTGATCTGGAACTTACCCCCATGTTCAGCTGGAAACTTCTGCCTCCAACTTGTGGCCACGAGAGCTCTAGAGGTTGAGCAGGAACTGCTCAGTTCTTTGTAGGGCTTCACTGTTTGGGAGAATGTTTTGTAACTGACCAGACTTCATGCCTGCTCCTCCCAGAAGAGGTCCTCACCCCCTTGGTCTTTACCTTGACCGAATGGGGCATATATTTTCTTTTGATTTTTGATTGCTGTGGCTTAAAGATTCCAGTTTCACCATTCCATAAAACCCTTCTCTATTGTTCTTTGCCTCGCTTCCAACTATTTAGTAAGTATGAATTGAACATGTCCTGTTCAGTGCTTACCTCTTGTTTCTATCTCTAACATATTAGGAGTCCTTGGTGTCTGTCCCACAGATTCTAGCTCCTCATCACACACAGTCCATGGTGTTTATTGATTATCTTGTGTGATAGTCTTATTTATCTCCTTGAAAGCACAGAGCATGTCTTCTGCTCCTCTCAGAGGCCCAAGAGGCACAGGACTGAATTCAGCCTATAATAGGGACTCTAAAAATGTTTGGGGAACTGACTCCAACCTCCAGTGCCTATAAAAGCAACAGTTCTCAGGAATCCCTCCAACAGGAAAACACAGACTGACACCATAAGTCTAGGCAGACTAATTGTTTTGTTCAACTTCCAGCAACATATATTAGGAAATTTGGCTGAAACCAACAGCTTTCCCAACACGTTGAACTAAATGGGATCACCACACTGATCTGGTTCCCCTCTTAATATTGGCTGATCATTAACATATGCGTCACTGGTTTGGGTCCCAAAATTCCTTTTTTGTTGCCATGTGGACAATTTCAACATGAGTAAGTAAGTATTTATTTCATAATAATTTAAGTCTTTTCAATGAGGGGCATAGCAACCAATTGAGAATGTGAACAAATATGCACTCATCAATATAGCTAACTTTAGGACAATGTAGACTAGGGATAGAAGGCTGTGCCTTTTTAAATGATGTTTCAACTGTGAGTTGGGCTGTTGGCACCCACAAGAAACATATGTTTATAAAATGTTTTCACAAGGAACGTATGTTTATCAAATGTTTTCACAAGGAGAGTATGTTTATCAAATATTTTCAGTTCAAATAGTTGGAAGTCGAGGTTTTCAAGTTGTCCTCTACAATTTATGTTTAGCTTTTCCCATGAAGTCAATCTCAAACATTTTCCTGCCTTGAGACTTGCAAATGAGCATGCTAGATTTATATCCTCAAAGTGAGCTCATACCATTCACCACATGGAAATTTTCCTTTGAAACTGGGTTCTGAGGAATACTGCTTATACTGCTTTTCTGGAATATAGCAGGTCCTCCTAGTCCGTGTGTTCAGTCTCTTGTGTCTATAAGGAACCAGGATTTCCTCCCTCAAAGAAACAGGGTCTCTCTCTCTCTCTCTCTCTTTTTTTTTGGGGGGGGCAGGTAGAGTTAGACAGAGAGAGAGAGACAGAGAGAAAGGTTTTCCTTTTCCGTTGGTTCACCCCCCAAATGGCAGCTGTGGCCGACACTTCTTCCTGGTCTCCCATGCAGGTGCAGGGCCCAAGCACTTGGGCCATCCTCCACCGCCTTCCCGGGCCACAACAGAAAGCTGGACTGAAAAAGGAGCAACCGGGACAGAATCTGGCACCCTAACCGAGACTAGAACACATGGTGCCGGTGCCGCAGGTGGAGGATTAGCCAAGTGAGCCGCAGTGCCGGCTGAAACAGGGTCTCTTACTGACACATTTATACAATCATTAGCTGTAACCAGAAAGGGCAAAGTACTGAGAATTGATAGGAGGTAGGCGTCAGGCCAGTGCCTTATCCTGACTTTCATGAGAATAGACTCACAATTCATTAAGCTCCTACTTAGTAAGCTTAGTCTCACTTAATTTTAACCCATACCCCAAAGGTATAGGCATTATTCATTTTTAATGTTGATAACACTATATAGTAGATGTCAAGTCAAGAACTTTCATCTTTTCACTTAAAAGAAGGAATTGACAGCTTCCCTTTGGCATATGTGAATGGCCAATATCACTCTTTTGTACTTTGGGGCTATTAGAGGGTAAATCAGGATTACTTGAACACAAGTATTGTGATGCTCTGAAAGTTGATCTAAAAACCAAGATGGTTGTTAAGTGGTGAACAGGCAAGTAATGGATACTCTGGGCCAAGGGATGATTCATATCCTAGGTGGGTTGACACAGAACAGCACGAGATTTCATCACAGTATTCAGAACCACAGTTGTCTGTGGGGTAACTGAAACCCTGGATAAGGGAGAAGTACTGCAAATTTGAAAAGTTCATTTTTTACCGCATGTTTCCTTCCTTAAAATCAAAAAAATGTATGCTGGTACACTTGGCTTCCAAAAGCGTGCTTGGGGGGATGTGAGGATCTACTTCTTTTTATTGACCCATCCAGATTTCTGGTTTTCAGGTCATCTCTTTGCTCTGTACCTGATATACAACCAGTTTTTGATAGATCCATTACAACAAGGTGGAATTGACCGTTGGCCTATTATACTACTTATTAGGATGCCTGTATACCACACTAGAGTACCTGGTTTCAATTCCCAGCTCTGCCTCCTGACTTCAGCTTCCTGCTAATGTGGATCCTTGGGGGCAGTGGTGATGGTTCAAAGTGGTTGGGTTCCTTCCAGCCACATAGGAGACCAGGATTGAATTTCTGGCTTCTGGCCTTAGCACCCAGCCTGGGACATTGCAGGTATCTGGGGAGTGAACCAATGGATAGGGGAGATCTCTCTCTCTTTCTCTCTCTCTCTCTCTCCCTCCCTCTCTCCCTCTCCCCCACAAAATATTTTTCTTATTTATTTTAAAAAAAATTTAAAAAACCTTTTAAAGTAATTCTATGTACCAAGGAAGCCCAACTCTGGAAAAAAATTACTGAACTCAGACAAACTGAGAATGATTGCTAATTCCCCAACAACTGCCTCCGTTTGAGAGCACGTGGCAAAGGGAAGATGCCATTCCGTCACTGAAGCAGCAGCCTGACATGCGACCAGGATAAAGTGAGATTGAAAGTGGTTCTTGCAGGACTTGCTCATTCTGGAGCAAGCAGATTTCAAGAGAGAAGGCGCTATGGGAACTACCTCTGCTCTGTTCATCCAAATGCAACATCATTGCCCAGGTAGAGTTTCCAATACGGAACGCTGTGCCAGGCTGCTCAGGTTCTGTCTGATCCAAGGCTTGGCGTGGCTCCCTGTTGGTGGCAATTCAGCTACCAAATAGCTAAGCCCCAGTTTTGTTCATTTAGGTGAAGTTGTAGCCCCCATCAGTTCACACTTGATCCCTTTCATTGCATTTTATGAAAGCATCAGTCTTTTTAGGAGCGCTAGCACTGAGATGTGGTTAGACACATATGCCTGAGTATAAAGGTAACATATGAGAGTGTACATGATAGGGCGGCTAAGGGAGTGGACAAGGAATCAGAATTTAACAGCATATTTGGCTTTTCTCATTGTGGACTTTTTCAGAGTAGCTGGCAATACAGTGGATGACTAACTTGATCTCTTCTTTTCTCTCTGAACAGGGCCACCCTGGACAGCCAGGCCCCAGAGGTCCTCCAGGCCTGGATGGCTGTAATGGAACTCAAGGAGCTGTTGGATTTCCAGGCCCTGATGGCTTCCCTGGGCTTCTCGGACCACCTGTATGCTGTCAGATCTTTGCTCTTTATTTCAAATAGCTTTGCTGGCCTCCAGTTGTGCCCCCTTTACTACTTTTCTGGAAACCTCAGTAAGCTTCTGTGGGGCAGCCACTGCAGCTCCTTTTGCAATGCATGAGTCTATGCTGGTAATACCAAAACAATAGAATCTAAAGAATACCAGTTACAGGGCGTGGGGAGGAAAATATACACATGCAACACTACTTAGGTTTTTTTAAAAAATTATTTGTAATGCTGCTCTTGGATTTAACAAGATTATTAAAAAAAAAGCTGTAGTAAACTTAAAAATAAAATACATACTGGGCTATTGGACATCCTCTCACATCAGACAATATCAGGAAATGCTTAGAAGGCTTACATGGGATCATGGGAGCACTAACAAGAAAACAAAGGGCTTAACAAGCTTGGTTTATAACAGTGGTTTTAAACCTGGAGGAATTGCCCCTCCAGGGACTTGTAGCAATTGATAATTTTGAGGGTTGCAACTGGACATACGCTGGTGGCACAGGACAACCACCCCCCTCCCCCCAAAAAATCAAGAAATCATTTGACATAAAGTGTCAATAATTCTATGATTGAGAAACCCTACTCTATACCAATGGTTTGTACTCACAACCTATGTCATAGCCCGTGGTTATGTGATTGATAGGATATTTATGGGCTCCTGGGATCACCACTCTTATTCAATCTCATCCATCCAGATAGGGTTCAGGTATTTGAAAATCTAATGGAGTTCTAGTAGATATTATGCCCATACAAGGCTGATTTCATAAGTGGCTAGAGAGGTATAACATGTTTCAAGTCCATCCTTTACCTCACACACATTCCATAATTCTACATGAATTAATGAGCACCTCATTGAGAGAATGGCACCATTGCCTTCAGTGACCAGGGTATGGAGGCAGGTATGCGGGAAGAAAGTGAAACAGTGAAACTGACAAAGCACATGTGCCAGATGGTCATAAAAGACCTTGACATCTAAAGGACCATACCAATATGTAGTGGGGGGGAGGGGGCAAAGAAAGATGTGTTCCTGACAGAATGAACCATGTGAGTGACAAAGGCTTCCAGTCTCTGCCATGGCAACAGCAGTAGGGCAGAGAACACTGAGTTGAGATGGAAAACTATGAAAGCAAGAGATCACTTCCCAGAGGAGGGGAAAAAATGGCGAGGTAATTACATCCTTTGACAAACAAACGAGGGTGGAAACCTAATGTTGCCCTTGAACCTCACGCTTAGCCTAAATAATAATTGAAATATGTATTTTACTAAACTGAATTATACCCTCTGCTGAACACTAAGCAGGTTTCCGTTCCTTAGGCTTCCTTTTATGTAATTTTATTATTATATATTTTATTTTTATGAAGTTATTAATTAACATGTAATACTTACACAGTTTTATGGGTCACAGTACAATATTTCAACTACTTTGAAGTTTCTTGGAAAAGAATAGTAGCTACAAGGACAAGGAGAAACGGGCAGTATTAGGAAAGAAACTGGGTTACGTTCCTGGAACAAAGTTGTTCTCCATCATTCAATCAATGCTTCAGTCCCCGAAGTGTAGCCCTACCCCTGATGCTAACATTGACTTCCCCTAAGGTGTGAGGCCATTGATTTTCCTCAGGACACATAGCTATTAGGCAGCATCTTCCACTGAGACAGCAAAATATCTGGTGGAAACACTGGACTTGGGTACTTCAAATTTATTTTCCTAGGGACTTGAGACACACCCTCCTCTTAGACAGGTGTTGAAGCTGGAGTCGTGTGGTAGAAGCACAGAACTAAAGTAACTTTGTAGTTATATCTTAGAGTAGGGGTCTCTAAACTAGCCCTCAAGGCCCTTGGCCTGTGGTCTACTTCTATATTTTTAAAGGTTTTAAGAAAGGAGAGGCAAGAAAAGAAGGGAAGAGAAGAGTGGAGAGGAGGGGAGGGGAGGGGAAGGGAGGAAGGAGGGAGGGAGGGAGGAGGGAAGGAAGGAAGGAAAGGAGGAAGTGAGGGAGGGGGAGGGGAGAGAAGGGGAGAGGAAAGGGAAGAGAAGGAAGGAAGGAAGGAAGGAAGGAAGGAAGGAAGGAAGGAAGGAAGACAGAACACAGATGTAACCCCAAAGCCTATATTACTTAATATCTGGCTCTCTGCAGAACAATTTGCGGTCCTCAGTCCTAGACAAAAGCCTTGTCAGTGACTTCTACTTGTGAGAGGTGAAACAGTGGATTCTAGGCTTATGCATGCCATATGTTTGCTCAAATCAGTGCTCTGGGTGAATGTAAGGTTTCCTATTTCTAACCACCAGACCTTGTATAGACCCCACCTTAGAGGTGAGGGGATGGGCACACAACTGGGAGATGCAGTAACTCTTCAGGGGATGTGTTCGCCCATTGGCACAGCCATATCTGCCATAGGATGTTGAGAGGCTTCCTTTTAGGTTCTTGCTAGTCCATCCTCCGACTGATTAGATCATACTATTACCAAAACTCTGTGTGTGTGTGTGTGTGTGTGTGCATTTTCTAACAAGTGTTTCTTACTGTTTTACTCAGGGGCTTCCCGGTCAGAAAGGTTACAAAGGTGAACCTGCTATTGATCCAGGCAGTTTCAAAGGAATGAAGGTAAGACACTGTAAGACAGAGAGCTGAGAAGGCTGTAAGCCGGCTTCCCTGAAATGGACCCCACCCCCCAGTACAAACATTTCCAGAACTAGCATCTGTATCTCTATTTAAGGAGCAGACCGAACTGGATTTAAAAGGATCTGCAGCTTTTTGTGGTAGAAACATTGACAAACATTTGCAACCATACTGTCAAAAAGATTTTCTTTGTAGGGTCTAGAGCAAAAATAAGAAATCACTCAGCAAACAGTTTTCATGGGTGTCCTTTTCTTTGACGGTTGCTGGAGGTAGATGCATTTCGTCTGCTCTAGAATCCTTGATATCTATATACTTGGGTTTGAAGCCATGTGTGTCTCTTCCCGTCTCAGCATGGCCATCAGCCCAGGATCCTGGCCCCTCCTTTCCCTGTCCCTGCACACCAGCCCATTCCCCTAACTGGGCCCCCTGGATGTCTGCAAAAATGGTCCTCAGCTCTGCAGCTGGCTGGAACCTTTCATCTCTTGATAAGAACCTCCTGTTTTCTTGTGACTTTTCTCTTGATACGTGTTGCCTGATATCCCGTGGGGGCCTTAGTCAACTCTGGCTCCAAATGATTGAACTTATTCCCTTGAAGAGTGGGAAAAGAGCCCATCGCTGCCTTGGTAACAAACAGGAGTCTACATGCTCAACATCTGAAGGGAAGATGCACCCAACTCATTCAGTTAATTGATACCACTTTTCTGGCTTCCACTCGTGCACAGAGCCAGAGACGCTGGAAATCACTGTGGAAGGCAATGGTGGGGGTGGGTGTCTGGAAGACAGGAGAAGCTCCAGGAGGACTTAGGCCCTTGACTGTAGGTGCCACAGCAGAAGGTAGAATGCTAGAGTTGGAAAGGACCTCGTGATTGTTGTATTCATATGACTCATGTTACAGACAGAAAATCCTCAGGTATACTGCGCTATGTGACTTGCTCAGACTCACACGGCCAGTCCACCAAAGAGCTAAACCACAGCCAGTGCTCTTTCCATGCTATAGAGACTCACTAATTTTTGACTGTAAGCCATGTAGGGTAAGACTAGCAGGTGTCAAAATATGAGCATTGTCTTAGCAAACATTGATTAAATGGTTTTGCCAAAAAGCAGAGATCCTGGATCCAGTGAAACACAGCAGTTTCCACAATATGGTTATATTACAGATTCATACAGTGGCTTAAGATGCTGCAAAGTAATTAAAATGTAATCAGAGACTGTATGCTCTGGTGATTTTTCCTTGAAATGTCTGATTTGCATTGTATACATATGGGCACAGATTCTCTGGGGATGAAGGCGCACGGGAAGGTAGCTTTGCTTTCCTTTTAAAAGAGCAGGAAAATCACCAGCCTGCAGAAGCACTTTCTAATTGATAAGTTCCTAGTAAAGGTGAAAATTAATTAATCCAAGTAAAATATGAAATCCTGTTCATCCAAGGCTATAATACTTATCTCCCAGAGTCCAGATTTGTCCTAGGAAAAAAAAGTAAATGGTTGGATCTGTCCAACTCATACATTTTTATCCCAATAAATCTTTAATTAATTGTCTGACATACTACAAGCTTAATTTATTCATCTCTTCAGTGTCCTTTTTGTCTGTTTCTCAGGGGAATCCCGGATTGCCCGGACTGGATGGAATCACCGTAAGTTGTTGTCTATGTGATGAGCTCTCAGTGTTTAGTCAACAATCACTAATGGTGCTTTTCCATTCTCCTCTATGGTATTCAAAAGTCTTTATAGATGTTCTCAAGGAAAGTCTAGAACTGAGGTAGAATGAGTTGTGCTATTGCTGTTTTCCAGATGAAAAGGTACTGAAAGGACAAACCTTCTGCCTTAAATTGTGCGACAGGCGGGCTTTCCGCCAGGGGCCTACATGCAATAATTTCTCCCCTTTTCCCTAGGGAATATGTTCCAAGACGTCCAGTGGACTCCAAAATTACAAATAGCACCACACACACACACACACACACATATATATGTAACTTTTTTATATGTGCATGTCTATGATAAAATTTAATTTATAAATTAGACAAGGGAGAAATTAACAGTAGCTCATTATAAAATAGAACACTTACAACAATATACTATACTAGAAATTATGTGAATATGATCTCTCTCAGAATATCTTGTACTGTACTCACCCTTCTTCTTGTGACATAAGATGAATCATGGGATGAAGGGAGGGAATGATGTAGGCAGTGTGCCATAGCATTCAGCTGCTATGTAAGGGTTACTTGAACACGAGCCCTTGCCATACTGTGGTGGTCAATTTGCTAACCATGATGACAACTAAGTGAGTAATGGGAGGATAGTGTATATAGCATGGATACTCTGGACAAAGGGACCGTTCACATCCTGGGTAGAATGCTGTGAGATTTCATCACACCACTGAGAATGGCATACAATTTAGAACTTACGAATTGTTTATTTCTGAAATTTTCCATTTAACATTTTTGGACCATGGTTGATCACAGGTGACTGAATCTCTGGAAAGAAAAAACATGGATGGGGGCGGGGGGAACTATTCTATTCTATATTCCCTGGGATGTGTTAGGAAAGTATTTGGCCTTTTATTCAGCAAGCATTTACTAAGTGTTTCTTTGTGTTTAATTTCATATGTAAAACAAAAGAAGTCAGGGCTAGCATTTGGCTCAGCAGTTAAGTCACAGTTTGAGATACCTGCATCCCATATCAAAGTGCATGATTCAAGTCCCAGCTACTCTACTTCTAATCCAGCTTCCTGCTAATGCACACTGAGAAGAAACGGATGATGGCTCAAGTACTTGGGTGCTTGCCACCTATGTGGGACACCAAGATGGCTTTCCATGCTCCTGTCTGGCTTTAGCATGGCCCAACCCTGGCTTTTGTGGCCATTGAGCAGTGAACTAGTGGATGGAAGATTCTCTCATTCTCTCCCTCCCTTACTCTCCCCTTCTCCCAAATACAATGGAAAAAAAAAAGAAATTTAAAAACAAAGGAAACAGAGCCCACTTTAAGATATTGCATGGAAAAATTCCTGTTAGAGATTCTGATAATAGTGAAAGGCCATAAGTTGTATTAATAAGACCTATTTCTTTTAGATTCCACATTCTCATCACTTTCCTTTGAAGTAGCTTAAGAAAAGTCCCTTCTTTCTTCTTTCCTCTATTTATTTATTCCTTCTTCCCTCTTCTTTTCTTATACTATTTCAGGCCCTAACAGATATTGAGCACGTACTATCAGCCAAGTGTTATGAGTGAAAACTGAGAAAACACTGTCTCTGTCCCCTAAAGATGTGGAAAAGAAATAGTAGGAATGCGACATAAGAATTCCACAATAAGGGCTGATGCCGTGGTGCGGCAGGTTAAACCTCTGCACACCTCTGTAACACCCATTGTCCCATATGGGCAAAGGTTCGAGTCCCAGCTGTTGCACTCCCGATCCAGCTCCCTGCTGATGCGCCTGGGAAAGTAGCAGAGAATGGTCCAAATCCTTGGGCCCCTGCACCCATGTGGGAAACCCGGATGAAGCTCTTGGCTCCTGGCTTCAGCCTGGCCCAGCCCCTGCCATTGCGGCCATTTGGAGAGTAAGCCAGTATCTGTCTGTCTGTCTCTCTCTCTCTGGCATAATATATAAAGTGCTTCAATTTGGGGAGAGAGTATTTCCCTCCCAGTCAAACCCTGCTCCCCAAAGGCCACAACCATTCTGATTTTTCTCCCACACAGATCAGGCTTTGCCTGTTCTTAGAATGCCCTATATAAGGATTCATATAGTATGTAGCCTTTTTGGCTTCTAAATTTTTAAAATTATTTATTTATTTGAAAAGCAGAGTTAGAGAGTGAGAGAGGGACAGGTAGAGAGAAAGCTCTTCCATCCGCTGGTTTACTCCCCAGAAGGCTGCAATGGCTGGGCTGGACCAGTCTTGGGCTAGTCCGAAGCCAGGAGCCAGGAGTTTCTTCCAGGTCTCCCACGTGGGTGCAAGGGTCCAGGCACTTGGGCCATTTTCTACTGCCTTCACAGGTGCATTAGCAGGGAGCTGGGCCACAAGTGGAGCATCTGGGACTCTAACTCGTGCCCATATAGGATGCCAGCATCACAGGTGGGCCCTTTCCCCACTATGCCACAATGCCAGTCACCTTTTTGGCTTCTAAGCACAATATTTTTTTTTAAAAAAGTATGTATTTATTTATTTGAAAGACATAGTTACAGAGAGGCAGAGGCAGAGAGAGACAAACAGATATTTCATCCGCTGGTTCACTCCCCAAATGGCTGTAACGGCCGGAACTGGGCCAATCCAAAGCCAGGAGCTGGGAGCTTCTTCCCGGTCTCCCATGTGGGTGCAGAGGCCCTAGGACTTGGACCACCTTCCACTTCTTTCTCAAGTGCATTAGCAAGAAGCTGGATCAGAAGTGGAGCAGCCAAGACTCCAGCTGGCACCCATATGGGATGCCGGCACTGCAGGCGGCTGCTTTACCCTCCATGCCACAGCAGCAGCCCCAGCACAATACCTTTGACATTTATCCACCCTGTTTCCTATATCAGTAGTTTGCTACTATTTATTGTTGAGTATTTATTGCACTGACTGCATGTGTCATAGTTTATGTCTCAAACCTTATACCAATGAACACCTGGAATGTTTCCAGGTTTTGACCATTATTTATAAAATTCTACACACATTCTTGTACAGTTCTCCTTCACATACGCTTTTCCTTTTTCCTGCATAACTGTCTTACTTTTTGACCTCAATAGAAACTTGTGTTTCTAGGGCCCACAAGGAGCACCAGGATCTCCTGGAGCTGCAGGACCCATGGGATCACCAGGATTACAAGTAAGACCAACTGAAATCTAGTCCGTGACGATGGTGTTTGCACAGCCATCTTCCCCACCTTGCCATGAATGTAATGTGAGCCTATGTAGCATACGACTTGCAAGGGAGGGACAAACTCCGTCCTTGCAGGATTAGGTGAATCACATTCTTGCCAGGAGCTATTGGTTGTCTGCATTTGCCGGAGTCTTTCTAAGCATCCAATCTATGCCTCGGAAGCCTCTAGTCTAGCTTAATAGCCCGGGGATAGTGGATACTTGTGACACATCCGTCGTCCCCTTCTGCTCCCTCACCCATGACAGCATTTGCTAAGTAGTCGTACCACCACCCACCCACCCTGAACGCTGAGAAAACCTGCAAATGCGTCTAGTACTGTACCTGCGGCAGCTCTACCTCCTTGCCTACCTGTCTGATACCAGACTGACTTCCCATCACTGATACAGGAGATGCACAGCCCCGCATCTGTGTGGTTCTGGGAAGGTGCTCTCCACGGGACTGTTCTTTCCAGTTCTCGAAATCTCATCATGTATTATTCAAGTTTAGCTTCTCCAAAGATCATCATTTAAAAAGTTGCCACCTGTTTGCAGGAATGACATGTGAAGTCTTCACTACAGCAACATGAATGGGATAACCCGGTCAATTTAGCAGATTTCAAAACAGATATAAAAGGAATCTTGGGAGAGGGAGCTAGGACCTGCCCCCACATTACACCAAATGGGGAAGGGACTTATCGCCAGTGGTTCTCCACATGCCCATGTTCTTTTTGATTAAAACTAACAATTGTTCATACTTTTTTTTTTTTTTTTTGCATCTAGGGTCCCCCAGGACCCCCTGGTTTCCCGGGCCCTGATGTAAGTATACTTTACCTTGGGGGCATTTGTCTCCTACCACTAGGTACTCTCATTCCACAGAGATATACCAGTTTGGTTAAAACTAGTTTCTGGAAAAAAAAAACTGTATTCCAATTACAATCTATAGCGTGTTTAGTAATTGATTTCGTTTTTCCTCCCTGCATCCCTGTGCCCCAGGGTAATATGGGGTTAGGTTTCCAAGGAGAGAAAGGAGTCAAGGTAAATCACTTTTGGAAACTATAATTTGTATTCCATATGTTCCAAGAAATTTCTCTGGTTACACCCATGTATACTCGTGTAAGGGTATTTGGTTCTTCCCTTTGGGAAATGAGCATTTCCCAAACTCTGTAGGTCCATGGGTGGGACCTCTTGAGGGCGGCATGTGCACCTGCCACACATGGGCCATTGTGGTTCTCTTCCCTTCCCAATATGGGCATCTCCTGGCTGCCTGCCTGTAAAGTGTGCATGTCTTACAAAGATGCTCTCTTGAAACATGTTCCTTCTCTTCTTTCCACCTGGGTATTCTCTTGGTGTTTTGTGTATTTGTCACTTTCCCTCCGCTTCCTCCCTTCCTTCCATCCTCTTCCTTGTCTCCCTCCTTGCTCTCTACATTTGTTTATCTGTCTATTGCCTCTATCCTTTTCATAACCCCTCTTTGACCATTCTTCCGTTTCCCTCCCTTCCTCCTTTTCCTGTATACAAATTGTATGGAGGTCGGGGGCTTGCTCTCCCCACACTTGCTGGCTGTCCCATGGATTGCACCATTTTCTGAAGGAGCAACTGCAGCCTCCCATATTCCAGCACAGATTTGACTGCCTCTGCTTGTGCTCTTGACAGAGATTGGACCAATTAGAGTGTTGCCGGTGGTAGCCATTCACCTTGCTCCAACTGCTTTATAGCCCTCTTCTCAAAACCCTTTTGTGCATGACCATGGCAACCATGAACCTGTGGTTTCCTTTCATCCATCTCGCTGCTTCCTTCTGCAGTGGTGGTACAGAATGCATTTATTTGGACTTAGAATTCTTCTCATGCCTTGACAATGAGTTTTGTTTCCTCATTGATGCAAAGGTGAAGAGGTCAAAGGAATGGCTAGTTTCTTTGTGACGTGTATTCAGTGAACAAACTCGCCCTTTGGAAAAAAAAGGTCTATGTGATTTATACTTTGCTTACTGTTACCTTTCATTTTATAGGGGGATGTTGGCCTCCCCGGACCTGCAGGACCACCACCATCTACTGGAGAACTAGAGTTCATGGGACTTCCTAAGGGGAAGAAAGGATCAAAGGTAGCAAACATTTAAGAAGAGGAAGAATTAATAAGCCTTTTCCTATTAACAACATCATTCAACTCTTAAAACCAGACAACACTGGGAGAACCGAGGGTTCTGGGTAGTGGGTTTTTGTCTGCACCTGCGGGCCAAAGTCTTCTTTGTTTAGTTCATTATGACAAGCTTCCTAAAAAGTCTCTTTCTTGGTGTGGAGGTGTGAGTATGCCTGGGTTTCTGAATGTTCGATTAAGTGCTATTTTCTCTCAGTTTTCCAGATTGAATTTTGATATTTGGAATAATTTAAAACAAGGGTTAAGTAGTTGGAGTTTTTTTCTTCTAACTCAAAAACTTGTTAACACTTACGTTGCCACCAAAGCACTGTGATGGAACACTTAGGGTATATGTGATTGCATTTTATTTATCTTTTAAAGATATGCATTTACTTATTTACTTATTTGAAAGGCCAACTGACAGAGAAAGAGAGTGATGGAGAGACAGAATGAGAGAGGAAGGGAGGGAGGGAGGCAGAGAGAGAGAGATAGAGAGAGAGAGAGAGATCTTCCACCCACTGGTTTGCTCTCTCAATGCCCTTAACAGCCAAGTCTGGGCCATGCTGAAACCAGGAACCAGGAATTCCATCCTGGTCAGTCGCCCATGTGGATGGCAGAGGCCCAAGCACTTGAGTCATCTTCTGCTGTCTTCTCAGGCATATTAGCAGGGAGCTGAATCAATAACAGAGCAGCCAGAACTTGAACCAGTACTCCCATATGGGATGCTGGCTCTGCAAATGGTGGCTTAACCCACTGTGCCACAATGCCAGCCCCTGACTTACCTTTTGGAAGAAGCCATTTGCCCTCCAAATCTGACCCCGCAAATAGGATGTACTATCACACAGTGGCAGTAGATGTCCTAATACACCTGGTCTGAACTACCGAGGCTTAAACCGCAGGCCCATTTAACTGAGATAGTTTACAATCTGTATTTTTGTGTGACTGTGTACTATATACGTGGTTGTGTTTGAACGGCTGTATGCTGTTAAGGTGTGCAGATATCTTTGAGCCGCCTGCATTCTCTTCCTTCCTGAGGTTCTTATACGTTTCGTGATTCCATTCCTATGGTTAAGTGGCCTACATACTAGAACATGTTCAGTCCCATTCCTTTAGCTTTATCTTAATGGAGGCAACAGGTCCAGGCCCCTCCAGATTGACAAGAAATATTCAGTGATTTGAAAACAGCCTGCGTGCATATGGAAGATTGCCTATCTCCCTGATCGTTCACAAACCTTAAGGAGCCCCTCTAGGACATATAGCATATCAGGGAAAGGCAAGTTAGAGCATTACATCTCTACATCCAAATTGGAATTGTTACCCATTTCTACAAACTGTAGATTTCTTTGCAGCCTGTAATTTGCTACAGGAAATCGCACTATACAGCTTCTTCCCTGAGAAAGAAAACAGATAATTATCCATTGTGTCTCCCAATTAGCCCGAGCAGTAGAGATTATGTTTTGGGCAGTCCTTGGCTCTTGGTCCTTTCCATACCGCAAAGGACTCCCAGAATGAAGACATCCCATGATGCTACCAGTCAAGAAGCCCTGAGAATCCGCACCATCCCCTGCTGCCCACTGCAGATACCTCACTGGTTCTCCACTTCTCACCCCAACTACTTTGAGGAAGCCATTCTTGATGTTTATTGCTTCCTGCTGCCACTCACTAAACTTTCGTTTGGTTTTCCAGGGTGAAGCGGGGCCTCAAGGTATACCAGGCATACCTGGACCTCCAGGGTTTCCAGTAAGTCTCCCTATTTGATCAACATACATGCAAGGGTCTTATTGGACAAAAGCTGTAGCAATAGAAGGCTAACAAGAAGACCTCTCCCCATGGTTATTGTAGAGAATGCCACATCTTCATGATTAGAAGGCCTTTCATATTATTTCTTGAACCCATGGAGACATTAGCATAGTTTCCCATGAGACTGAATATCTTTACGGCTATTAGCTGAAGCTCTAGAGTTAAAACAGACCTAGGCTTGACTTCTGGTGCCATCTGTTTCAGCCATGTGGACTTGAACAAGTTTTTTCGTTTTGCTGTGCCTCAGTTTCCTAACCTGCAAAAAAAGGGATAATGATGGGTGTGGTTGCAAGGATTAAATGAGATAGCATGCATGAAAAAGGGCTTCATATATCCATTGTGCGATAAATAGCAGCTAATCATAGTTATGTTAGTTTCATTTTTCTATCTGCCTGCCTATCTTACAGTCTTTCTTTGAGGGCTCCTATGTACCAGACACCTTGCTAGGTTCAGGGGCTACAAAAGCAACTAAATAAAACTCCCTGTCCCTGAGATGACATTCTGATGAGGAAGTGAGCGAGGATACAGCTGACAAGCAAGTGAACAGATGAATCAGTACCAAACCCGTATAGTGCAGTGCGTGAGGAACAGGCTGGACCACTCGACACAAGAGTTGTCAAGTGGGGCCTCTCCAAGGAAGTGATGCGTGGGCTGAGGCTTGAACATTATGAGGAAGCAACTGAAAGATCAGATAAAGAGTTTCAGAGTGAGGCAACCGCAAGTGCCAAGACCTTGAAGTTGGAAAAAGCTCAGTGCTTTTGAGGAACAGCCAAGAAGGTAAGTAAGAACAGAGTGAGCAAGGCCAAGAATTAGGCAGAGAAACAGGAGCCAGATCTCAGCCACCTTGCTGGTTCAGACGTTGCTTTTATTTTTAATGTAACAGAAAAGCATCCAAATGAAGGCTCTGATTGGTATGTTTAAGATCACAGCGACTGCAGGGGCTGGGGGCCTGGGGGCTTGAGGGGTGGAATGGCAAACACAGAGTCTGTTGCAGCAGTCCAAGCAGGTGAGGGTGGCTAAGACTATACTGATAGCAATGGAAATGGAGAGAAGTAGATGGTTTCCAAATTTTAAAATAAATAAAATGTTAAACATTTTATTATGGGACATTTGAAAATCTACAAAAGCGGAGAGAGTGGCATAATGAGCCCCCTGTGTACCCGTCACCTACCATCAATCGTTAGGAACTCATAGCCAATCTGAAGCAAAACATTGACTTAGCACTTTTTCATAAATACTTCAGTATTTCTAAAAGATGAGGACTTTTTAAATACAGTGGCAATACCATCATCAGTAATTAATGATCAGTAATTACTAACTGCCAATTAGCAAGCAGAATTCAAATTGATGATTGTCCCATAACTAAATGCATGTAAACGTAAAGTTAAACATCTATATATTTTTATAGGTACTTTGTTTGGATGAGAATCCCAACAAGACCAATACATGACATTTGGTTCATGTGTCTTAAATCACCAGAAGTGTTTTTTGCAGAAGGAGCTGACCGTATTTTCCTGGAGCAAGGGTAGGGATCTGGCGAGAAGCGGATGAATCATAGATACTGAGGCCTGCCCCTGCTTGCTGGCACAATGGGAATCAATGACTCTGGCCCTGCCCTACAATACTTTGGAGCACTATAGGTCTCTCTAGGTAGTTAGAATGCAGAGCCAATGGGGCCAGTGGCACAGGTTGCTTCCATTAGGACTCCTATTACACCTTCAAAACAAAGGGGCATAGAGAATTATCAGTTCAATGTCCTTGATTTTAATCAACTCTGTATCTAATGAATCAGAGAGGAAGAGAATCCTAGTGTTGGAGACAGAACACCCAAACCTTAGACCCCACTCTAGCTCTGGGACTTTAGCAAATCACTGAGCTGAATGTGTGTGTGTGTGTGTGTGTGTGTGTGTACAATATGGCAATGATGATATCTACTCTTTTGAGGCCCAAGTAACAATATGCATGAAGTTTCTTGACTAAGTATAAAGCTGTGCTGTCCAGTAAGATAACCACTAGGTACATGTGCCTACCACACCTAGGAGACGTGGCTGGTCAGAAATGAAATATACTGTGAGTGCAAAATACACACCAGATCTCCAAAACTTAGTAAGAAAAAAAAGTCAAAAATATCTTAGTACGATTTTTACTTCAATGCTAAAATGCCGATATATTTGCTTAAAAATGATATTATTAAAATTAATATCTTATGTTTATTTGACCTTTTTACTGTGGCCACTAGAAAAGAGACAGGACCATAGTCACTCACCTTTTCTTTCTATTGGACAGCACAGATATAACATGCCTTGCAAGTAGGTTTGGGAATAAGATGCGCACATTTCTTTATATATAAGAGCATTTTGCATAAATTCGCGTCCCCTTGCATTATGCCCATGAAGGTAGCATATGCCCATGAAGTTGAGCTGGGCTTATCCATCTTGTATTGACGAGAAAACTGGCCTGCACCATTGAAGAGGCTTGTTCAGAGTCACGTAGCTGCTTATTAGCAGGGCTGTGATCAAAAGTGCGCTTTCTTGAATTCTAGCCAGTGCAGGGCTTTTCTCCCATACCATACTGCCCTCTGCAGGCCAGCACCTGCTAGCCAGGATGGCCATGGTGGTTTTCTCCATGAATCTCTAGGGAAGGAGTTTGCATCTCCTCTGGTGTCACAGGGGGCTCCTCCTTCCCCCTCCCTTCAGCTCAACCTCATAGGATTTCCCCTGCTGCAGTTTCAATCTGTTTGCATTTGTCCTGTTAAAGAAAGAGAGTCCCAATGACGGCAGCACACGGTGATAAGTTACTGCAATGCTATTTCCAGATCAGTATTTTACAATATGGGCTGCAAGCCAGAAACCCCAGTGCTATAGCCATCAAAGCGGCAAAATCTCTCCCTTTACATAGGACAGCTTGTTTTCACAGGGTGGGAATCAAAAACCCAGCATTCCCAGCCCACTTCCGCATGGATAGCACACGTGACCCTGGCCACATCATGTAACTCCTTCGATCCTAATAGCTCTGTCTGCTTAATGGAAACATTCATGGGGAGCCTACCTGCCTTCTGGCAGAATGGTTGGGAGGAGGAAGGTGGTAAGGTGTTTGAGGTACTCTGGGCTTTTCAGAGGAAACACACTTCGCAAATCCGAAGCCCTCGTGTTGGCTTTCAATTACCCATGCTCACTGAAAACCAAGGCAGTGCTGAGAACAGACATCTCTAGGGATCCAAAATGTTCCCTTTAACCATTTGTTTCCTTCCCACCCATCTGAGCTCCAGTCTTTGCAGGGGACCAAGCATCCAGCCTGGCAAGATTTATGCCTCACCTTCTTTCTCTCTGCAGTGAGCAAAGAGCGCTGATTTTTTTCTGGTCCAGTCTCAGCTTCGCACGCACCATCCCGTTGTTCCCAGCAGCACACTTAACACTTGGAAGCCACAGGGCCTCCCATTAGAGGTTGTCACCGATCCCTGTATGGCCACGTGCCCTCTGTCCAAGGGACCAGCGAGCACAAGGGAGGCAAATGGAAGCGACGCAGGGAGGGAGAGGAGAAGCTGGTAAATCTTGAGAACTATTCAGTGTGTGGGCAGAGGGGCTTCTCCTTCAACTGAGCCTTCGCAGAACCACAAAGCAGGAGTCCAGGGCAGAGGAGGAGAGGCTTGCAAATAGCTAAACTAGTGCTCTGATGAGGCTGTCTGGGCCCTGGGACAGCACAGTGCCGGTGAGGACGGCAGTGGCGGAACCTCCCAAGACATGGGTGAAGTGTCACAGGGTCCACAGGGCCAGGTCCCAGAACATTTTGCTAGAACAGCGTGTTCGGCGGGGTCCCTGTACAGTGTCTGCCCGTGCTAGGAGACGAGCTGAGCCCACAGCACAATGTCTCGCCAAGCCATTTTTCTTTTATTGGCTCTGACCGGCCTCCCCCCACAAATTTCTTTTATTTTTTTCCCTTTAAACACTTTTCAAGTCTTTATCTTTGTTCACGATGCAACACAAGCTCTCAGACTCCCTCTCTAAGACAGCAAGAATCCAGAGGCTCTCCCTGTTTCCCAAAGGAATACAGAGCTCTCTTAGAATTGTGGGCAAGGCAGAGGAGGCAGGAAATGAAATGGTTTCTGCACATCATCTCCTGCCTGCTTTGGTACAGTTTGGTTCTCTCAGTCATTATTCCATTCAGTCCAACAAGTTATTTCATCCAAACCACCTTATATGTGGTTAGACTGCAGCAACATGACTAGCAGGGAGATGGAAGAGACTGTGGCAGGAGCCTGCTGCTTACAGAAATTTCATACACATCCAGTCATAGCCCTTTAAGACATTGGAGCTGCCTGGGCTGCGCTAGCTTGGAATCAGGGTCAGATCAAAGAAGGCTGCTTGAAGTGTTTGACCTCAGGAGGGCAACAGACACTCCACTAGGTGGCAGTATGCCTTGCTTTCCCACTCGGGATGCAGAAAAAACTAAAATTTCAAGTATGTTTGCGTTCCGTTTGAGCTACGGACCTTTCAAGTTAGAAATTCTACTCAGCACAAGGGCTAAGCTATTTGACACATAACTGTGGATGCAGAAAAGGGAAAAGGCAAGGAAAAACCAAAGGCTGCTTTGAATTGGACCCTTCACACACATACACCCTCCCCTCAATAAAAAGATAATATAACAACCCACGTTTAAAAAAAAAAAAAACCTGCAGCCCAGAAAGCCAAAGGGTATTCTGCCAGCTTTCAGTGGGAATGCACTGAGTATGTAAAAGGAAGAAAAAGTTAAAATGGGTTTGGAGTGGTGCCCTCACACCAGCTAAGCTGGGTCACATCCAGGGGACAACAGGAGATGCGCCACAACATTCAGCATCTTTCACCAGCTCACATTTGAGAAAACTTCCCTGAGCCCTTTATTCTCACAATAGGCCTAAATCGGTTTTCCAAAAGTTCTCTGTTCCATGAAGTATAATATTAAACAACAACAAAATGCTTTCAGTTCAGTTTTCCGTCCACTTTGATCATGAACCTTTCTGTATCTTGGGGGCTAGGGATGTTTGCCTTGGACCTAAGAAGTGAGGAAGCTGTTACTCACTCTGCTTCTTGGATGCCCTGCTTCTACCTACAAAACCCCTAAGTCACACCTATGGCTAAAAGTCCTCACTTCCTGTGAGTGGGACAAGAGGAATTGGATACCGTCTCATACTCCCCTTTGCTGGGTTCCTAAAGCTGGCCGAGAGCCCTGAAGTCCCAGCACAGGCGCTGCAGGTTCAAAATCCTGCCTAGACAGAAATACTTCTCTGCACAGAAAAGGGTGTTACAGTCATCATGTCTCCAAAAGGGGAACACTCTTCCCTCTCATAGCAACCCCCCAGGATTTGCACAGGGCTCTGTTTCTGGATCACACACTCAAGTTCCTAGATGGTAGAAGGCAGCTTGTTCGCATGGAAATGGCCCGGGAATGGAAGTCAGAAAACCTGGCTTTCTCATCTGTTCTTCGCCTTTCTGGGTGTTATAGTCTCCATCTGTAAAGTTAATGAGCTTGGATAGTTAATGATCCCTATGCTGTTAGCCATGATGCTATAAACACATGTCATAGGGTTCTAGTAAAAAGACATCACTCTCAGAACCAAAACGGAACCTTGAATGAATGGTCCAAACTATGTTCAGACCCAATGTCCCTTTGCAGGCGGTGACCAAAGACTCAGTGTGATGAGGCTTCGAAGTGGAACAGTCGACCTCGTTTGAAATTGCTTCCCTGCTTTAGAAGGAGTCTGGAGATGCATGAGCAAATGAATTCTATAACTTCTGGCTTCTTTTTTTCCCTTCAGGGATTTGGAACCACTGGAGAAAAGGGAGAAAAAGGAATCCCTGGTTTGCCAGGACCCAGGGTATGAACCTGGAATGTTGCTTGCCTAGATTTGTCCAATTGCTGCCTGCTTCCTTCTGTTACATACCTTGATGGCTACCTATGCTACTTTTTTCTTCCTTAACCCTCTGGCAGCTTCCTAAGACCTCCTTCTCTCCACTTAGCCCCATGTCCTTCACTGCGTGGCTCCCATGAATAAAGAATGCTGTGCCTGCTGTTTTAAGTGGCTCCTCAGCCTTTTAGCTCCCTTGCCCTCGCATATAACTATCTTCTGGAGTAAAATGATGAGAGTGTTGGCTTGTTTTTATTCCATTGTATTTCAAGGGAATGTGGGCAGGAAATGGCACAGGAGTGGATGAAAGAGGGTCAAGTGCAATCTTTATAGGAAAGAAACAAGCCTGGGAAGTTCTAGAACATGGAGAGTGATGTTTGGAGTCAACAGTTTCCAATAATAATCTTACTTCAATTGGATAAATAATTATCAGACTCTCTGGTTCCTAGCTTTAGGCACTTAGGTCTTGAGCTATAAGCAGTTGGCCAACTTAGGTTGTGATTATACCGTGGCCGTGGGGTTTGTTAAGAGTTGTTTGAATATCTACCAATATTCATTCATTACCCTGCCATTTATTTCTTTATGTTTCCTTCTCCCTTGGTCTTGAAAACACATAATCACCAACAAATAATGCATTTGGGGTAAAAGATAAGAGAGCCTCTCCCGTAAAAATCTCCTGACTTGGAAATAATGCAGACTAGGTATAGTACCCCCTAGTCATTCTACCAAATTCTACCTACTACTTAAAATGTTTCTATTTATTTAGCCCTTTAAAAATGTGCTCCATGTGGCCATTCAGCCAGATGGATTAGTAGTTAGAATTCATTAAGGCAGGTCTATGAATATTCTCTTACCTGATTTTAGGAGCCACCCAATCCTAAACTTAGTTGGATAGCTTTGTTATGTAAGTCCAGCATCTTTCTAGTGTGACCTATTAATCTGTCTATGGTATAATTATTCTCTTTATAGGGTCCCATGGGTTCAGAAGGAGTCCAGGGTCCTGCAGGGAAACAGGTATTTTGGTTAATATTGTTAAAACCTTGGTGTACAAAATCCTAATGAAAAGCCCCCCTCCCCCCGCTCTAACTTACTATGGCAAAGATATCATTGCTTATAATGCAAATTGTCCATCTCTCTTTTACTGGTATAATCTTGGCCTCTCTCTTCTTTTCACCTAATAATATGGGTATCCAGTATCAAATTCAGTGCGTTGTCATGCCATGATGTGGTCATGCATCTCTGGCCATGTTATCAGGGCCTAGTACAGCCAATCTACTTGTATCCATCTCTATCTAGCCTTGTGGCCTTTGTTCCACTTAAGATGTAAGTTGACTCCCTAGTACTATATTTTGCATTCCTAGAAAACATTCCGGCTTCCAGAGTCAGGTAGAAGCCATACATACCCTGGAATGCCAGCCACAGTCTCTGTGCCATTTGCCATTTGTTCTGGCCTAAAACAAAGACCAGCTCCTCTTACACCCTATTATTTCAAACTTGGTGGTAATGATGTTTCTATCACAGGGCAAGAAGGGGACATCAGGTTTCCCTGGGCTAAATGGACTCCCAGGAATTAAGGTAAAGTCTCTGAAGTAAATATCCAGGGTTGAGGAGGTAGGAGAGTGGAGAATTCCATAGAGGTCTACATATGAGTTGAAGTATTTAAAATATTTTGATGTTTTAGATGTCACTCTTAAGAGATGCATGCTGTTGCTACCTGTTGAAATCTTTACTTAATATATGCTAAATTGATCTTCTGTATATAAAGATAGTTGAAAATGAATCTTGATGTGAATGGAATGGGAGAGGGAGCAGGAGAGGGGAGGGTTGTGGGTGGGAGGGAAGTTATGGGGGGGGGAGCCATTGTAATCCATAAGCTGTACTTTGGAAATTTATATTTATTAAATAAAAGTTAAAAAAAGAGATGCATGCAACCCACTTTGCACACTGATAAAGCATTCCTTAAATAATACTTGATCAATGGTGAACTAAGGGAAGGATGCTGATGGAAACTAAGAGCAGGAGTATTTTATTACTGACATTTTAAAGAATTCCCCACTTTTAGGTTTTATTAATGTTTTAAAATTCTCTGTATACAATATATACCCTTATGGTCTGCACCTGGTATAAACAGCTCCACCACCCTACCCTGGATATGCTACTGTATCTGGTTCTGGGACCTGAGTATCTACCCTCCCCCCCCCCACTTTGGGGAATCATTAGGAACCCTTTGCCTTCCTCTAGATGGTATCATCCACTTGCAAGGGAAGTGACAGTAGCACATTCCCAGGCCTGCTGAGCATAGAAAACATTTGAAACTCTGCTCCCTCCTTAGTACCTCTCAGGTTGTTGTCTCTGCCTCTGACACACTTCCCAGGCCCAGAAGCAGATTGTCCTTGAGTAGGGCTGCAAAGCAAAATTGGGATCCCTTGTCCTTGACAGCTTTGTAACTGTCAGGCTGCTGGCTTCCCTCGTGTCATATTCAGCTTACATTTATTGGACATTGATAGTAACCTATGGACTAGCTGACCCTGGAAATCAGAGGTCACAGAAGGGGAAATCTTTGATTTTTCTAAGGATTGGCTTTGAAAACACTTACATCATGGGTGATGAGGTCATGGAAATATTTGAGTTTAATGTGTTTCATTTTTGCAGGGTGAAAAGGGTGCCATCGGCCTGCCAGGCCCTGACATTTTCATCGATGTAGATGGCGCTGTGATCTCAGGTGCAACTTTTCATAGACTTGAGTGGAAGAGAAAGGATAGAGTTAAATTCCATATCCTCTGCAACTATTGAAAGGATACTTTCTCAGCTTTGGATTACTATGGAACTCAAAGCTTCCAGGGCTCCTTCATGAGTTCTGAGTTTGGAGGATGACCCTAACTCCAATCTCTAGCACAGAAAAAGACAAACCAACCACCCCATTTTTTTGTTGGATCCACCAAGATCAGCATTTTTGTATGTCTGGGGCTGCATTTGGTAAAAAAAAAAAAAATGCTTCTCTTGGCAATGCTTATGCGAGGACAGATGTCTCACCCAACTGGGGTGACTTCAGTGTAATACTCTGGAATACTCAGGGTCCTACGTAGATAATTCCATACATGCTTGAGCTTGACAATCTCATAGGAAAAGGAAAAGTATGTCTGGCCAGAAGAGCAAGTAGTTGATGAGCCCTCAACAGTATGATGCTTAGAAAGTTTGTCTTCACCTCCCCTTGTCCTAGTTATTATGTGTGCCCAACCCTTCACTTTGCATCCTCCAAATGCCAAATGTCTCCAACTTCTTGCTTGAACAAAGGCTTCTACCATAGTGCCTGTTCTACCTGGATCTCCTTCTTTATCCCTTCCCTCTCATCCTCTAAAGATCATCCCCTATCTAGTAGTAATAGTTGACTTTGGATTCCTGTGTTCCATTTCCAGGAAACCTATGTGTATAACCTATGTGTATAAACAGTGAACTTCAACATCTTGCCCCAAATAGTGGATATTTGAAGAATTATGGCAGATTAATAGTAAAAGAACCTACTTAGTACATACCAGATCTTATCATGGAAGAAACCCTGGACAGACCAGTTTTGAACAATAACAGAGCCTTGTTTCTGGTTGGCCCATTGTCATAAGAGACCATGAGCATCTGAGAGACCTAGGGATGGCAGAAAGATCCTTCCTAGAACCAGATCAGCTCCCTGTATTGCTGCTTGGGCATTTTGTGGCATTTGTGAACCTCATCTGTGTTTGTTTACTGCTTTTTTTTCCATTGTAATTTCAGGTTATCCTGGAGACCCTGGTGTGCCAGGCCTCCCAGGCCTTAAAGGAGATGAAGGCATCCAGGGACCACGTGGGCCTTCTGGTATCCCAGGCCTCCCAAGCTTGCCAGGTAGTACAACCTAACCCATGCCATGCAGAGATCAGTTTGCTAACCACTCCTGTTCCCAGAATCCCCTTCTATACCTCTGGGTTCAGGCACACACCTTGCCAAGGTCACGGCAAAGGTAGATGGTAGTCAGTAGGTTCCCCACTGCCAGCCTAAGGGTAATGGATGTAGGGGTAGGGCCAGGGTGAGAAGATTTCTTTTGGATTAAATAATGCATCGTATCTAGACAAGCATTTCAGATCATTATTGAGGGTTGTCATCACTGGAGAAGTCTGAATTGGGCTACTGGAGCCCTGTTACTTGTCTCTGGATTTGCCATCCAAGCTGATGCTTGCCAAAGAGGAGATAACAAAATCCCAGAGCAAAATTTGTACCCCAAACCTAACTAGGCTTAACTTGGGCACCAAATGGTCTTACACTCCTGTGGGTGACAGTCTTGAAACAGGTAATCAGAGGGGCATACCCATAAGTGAGTCCATAGTGACAGGCAGAACAAGGCCATGCCAGAGTCTAGAAAGTGGAAATATCTAATATATGAAGCTTCAACATTACTTCTTAAGTCACCAGTTTCTAAATTCCTTGGAGATGATTCTCTGGCAAAATACCTGTGCTTTTTAAAACAATATTTATTTATAATTTATTTATTTGAAAGGCAGAGTTGCAGAGAGAGAGGGAAAAACAGAGAAACAGAGACAGAAATAGAGAGAATCTTCCATCTGCTGGTTCACTTTCCAAACAGGCGTAATGGCCAGGGCTGGGCCAGGCTGAATCTAGGAGCCAGGAACTTCCTCCAGGTCTCCCATGTGGGAGCAGGGGCCCAACGACTTGAGCCATTCTCCATTGCTTTTCCAGGCACATTAGCAGGGAGCTGGATCAGAAGTAGAGCAGCCAGGATATGAACTGGTGCCCCTATGGGATGCCAGTATCACAGTTAGCAACTTTAACAGCTACACCACAATACCAGTCCTAAAATACCTGTGCTTTTAATGCTGCCATTTGGAAGAGGCAGAGATGGCCCTAGCACCAAGGTAGAAAAATTGAGAAGTAGGATATTAGACAGATTTTCCATTCAGATTTGCCACTAAGAAACTCCATGCCGCTAATCATGTTTCCCTGTTTCCCAAGAGTTTAGACCAATTCATCTTGAAGGACTCTTCTAACTTTGATCTCAGATTCTTCACTTGGAGTTGTTTCCAATGTGTGCCACTGGTTGGAATACTCCTGAAGAACCGGGTGATATAATGAGCGTCTTCCTGTGGGTTTATCCTTCCAGGTATTCAAGGCATCCTAGGGCCTCAGGGATCGCCAGGCCTCAAGGGAGACCAAGGAAACCCAGGCCGTACCACAGTTGGGGCAGCTGGCCTCCCTGGCAGAGATGGTTTGCCAGGCCTGCCAGGCCCACAAGGCCCACCTGGCCCACCTGGTAAGTTGTTCATTGCTTTTACCTTGAGACTCAGGTGTGATTCAGACTGAAGAACAGTCATGATTTGGAGGGAGCATCCACAAGCGAAACAGCTAAGCCAGGACACCTACCAGCAGAGGGGTAGCGATAAAGGCTCCTGCCTCTCCAAGTCAGAGCCCCGCTTCTGCTGATACCAACTACAGAACTGTTCTTAATCAAGGGACAAACAAGCTAGGGTCATCTTGATAAGTAAACACACCTAATGCCTTCCAACTTCTTTACCCATTCCCTTCCAGCCTTCATAGTTCTCAACGCAAAGACCTCTGGCTTTTCAGTTCTTAAAGGACCAGCACAGGCTCAGTAGAGTTCCTCCTGGTCCACAAGGCTCCAATGGGCTGAGCTAAGAGCCTCAGAGGAAACCAAGCATGGACACTCAAGGTGGCTGCTGAAAGCCTAAACAGGGCTTGTTATCCTTACGTCTTCAATCTGAGCGTGGGAATTCTAGATTCTGAAAGAAAGACTGGAAATATTCTTTGTAACCTAAATCCCATGACCATTACAGCTTATACTTATTTTGTCCTAAGGAAATACTCTGGGGTAGATACTGGGAATGCTGAGTTACTGGAACTACTTTGTTCATTCTTGTACCCCCAGTGGCTAGAAGAGTGCCTGGAACATTCTGAAACCATTCGCTGAGTGATTTGAGCAAAGATTCCTGTTGGGTCTTTGCTACAGGCATGAGGTCTCTGTCTTGATTTTTGTTGATTTGTTTCTACTGTGGTGGTTGGGCCTCAAGGACTCAGGCCTTGGTGACTGAGCTGCTGCACTGTGTTAAGTGAGTCATCAGTCTCATGTAAATTGCCAACGGTTTCTCTTCCTTTTTCCTGAAGGTCCATCATTTGGAACTGGAACCCTACACAGAGCAGAGCCAGGTTTCCCTGGCCTCCGAGGAGAACAAGGTCTGAAAGGAAACCCAGGACTCAAGGGAGTAAAAGGTGATTTTGTCCCTTTGAGTTTCTTTGTTCCTTAAACTCCTTAGAGAAGGTTTTATATGGGGAATGAGCAAATCTACAGTCTGATGAACCTGAACAGAAGCACTCTAGGATCTTGTTGGCCTCCCATATGGGATGCCGGCACTGCAGGTGATGGCTTTACCCACTATGCCACAGCGCCGACCTCTGAGCTGGTGTATTTCTCAACACTGTTCTCACTCCTAAAACAGGGACAACTCTAATGCTTCGCCTTCCGTAGTTCCATGGGATCAAAACGTTTTCTCTAAATATAGAATAGTGATAGTGAGTATCAAGCAGCATTGTACATGGGAATCACCTAGGGGAAGCTATTTAAAATCATATTCTTGGGGCTGGCATTGTGGGACAATAGGTTAAGCCACTGCTTGCTATGCCAACATCCCATGTCACAGTGCAGGTTCAAGTTCCAGCTGCTCCACTTCCAATCCAGCTCCCTGGTAATGCACCTGGGAAGGCAGCAGAGGATAACCCAAGTACTTGGGCCGCTGCCACCCATGTGGGAGACCCAGTTAGAGTTCAGGGCACCTGACTTCAGCCTGGTCCAGCCCTGACTGTAGCAGATATTTGAGGAGTAAACCTATAGATGGTAGATCTTTCTCTCTGCTTCCCTCTCCCTCTCTCCCTCTCAAACAAACAAATATTTTTAAAGACTTATATTGTTGAATATGACTTCCTGAGTGTAATGGATTAGGAATGCGAAGGGGTCCACCAAGCTGCCTCATAAACAAGTGTCACAAGTGACTCATGCTGGAGGTCCAGGGACTGTACTTGAGAAATACTAATCTGAAGAACAGATTATCCTTTCGGTGTTTCAGGTGTTATCAATTTTCTAAAAGTAGGAAGAGGCCCTTGAGCTACCTATGCTGACACCAGTTCCCTTTTTCACGACCGTAGGCATAGGAGGTATAGATGGCTGAGCTATAGTGTCAGTGATTAGTTGATACCTCCTCCAGTGGTGCTTTGCTTGGGATCCCTATTATCAATTTATTTGGCATTTGTGTTGCATGTACAAGAGTCAGGGGAGAAGACATATTGATGAAGAGAATGTTTGAATGGCTTGGATTCCAGACTCTCGGTGGGTTAGTAGAGGTCAGTGGTGCTCAGCTCTGGCTATACTTAAGACTCCCTAGCTAAGCTTTATCCTAGACTAACGAAATCCCAACCACCAGCACACATCTACTCTGATAGGGAGTGAACCTCATTCATTTGAGTCTGTTTACTATAGGCCTTCTGATTCCCTCCGTGATGTTGTCCAAGTCACAAATAACCACAATTAGTTCTTTCTTCTTCTTGGAAAGATGCCCCACTGTGCTTCATGTTGTCTTTGTTTTCCCCAGGGGACCCTGGCTTTTGTGCTTGTGATGGTGGTGTTCTCGACATTGGACCACCTGGGGAACCAGGCCAGCGTGGGCCACAAGGTCTCATGGGCCCTCCAGGAGTTCAAGGAACCAGAGGCGATCCTGGCTCCAGAGGCACACAGGGTCCAGCAGGGGCCCCAGTAAGTCTTGCTAAACTTTGGCCCTTAGCAATTAGTGGGAGCTTTCAAGTGCACTTTAGTTCTCAACAATCACTTTCCTGAAGTACATGAAAGAAACATGGGGATAATACAAAGCTTTGATTTTTGATGTCTGTAGACTTCCATTCTGCTTTAGCCTACCTATGTTCCTTAACCTTTCTCCCTCCCTCCCTTTCACAAAATTATTTACATTTGCCCAGCACTGTGTTGGGCCCTAAAGATAATAGAGGAATTCAGATGAGCTTCTCATCTTCAAAGATTTATTGAAAGGACCATAAAATAAATGGGAAATTATTTTCCAATATGGCAACCATAACCAAGTGTACAAGGACCTAATGTCATACTGTTCTATGTTCCAGAACTCTATGAAGTCTACCAATCCTGACTATTCCCTTCTGTTTCTTTGTCAGGGTTCACATGGGCCACCGGGTCCTGCAGGCTCCAAGGGAGAGAAAGGGGAGCCGACTCTCAGTACACAATCAGGAATGCCAGGGGAGAAGGGTGATCCTGGCCCCCGGGGATTCCCTGGTGTGACAGGAGCCCGAGGCGAGGATGGCGCACCAGGCTTGCCAGGTTTACCAGGCCTCCCGGTAAGCTGATCAGTCCTGGTGCTTCTCTCTGTAAATCCTCACACCTGACTAGGGGAATAGGTGTCTGAGGAACACTGGACGGTGAGACAGGGCAGAACAGAAGCAATCTGGAGCACCTCACTTTTCTTCTGCCGCTGGCACTTTGACTCCATGCTTTTCCTTCCTGTTAAGTGGGAGTCTTTCTCCCAGACCGGGTCATTATCCTATTTGATAAATGACAGTGATACTTGATCTTATCACTTCAAAAATGCTTCAGTTTCTCAATGACTTCTGCTTCAGGTAACTCTGTTGCTTTCTATGCCCTCAAGGGTTGTTGTTGCCCTGCTGATTTCCTACCCTCTCCTTTTACGTTATCAGATCATCCAAAGCTGATGAGACTCATTGTCACTAACCAAACTCAGAGGAGGCCAATTGTTACACTAGCCTGCTAGAGAACTTTAACAAAATGTGAAGTATTGACTATACCAGTTACCTCTTTCTCACGGTCAGAGGACTCTCCAGATGAGTGTCTGAGTTGGACTTTCCTTATTTTCTTTGTGTTGTCTAGGGCGATGGTGCACAAGGGTTTCCAGGTGAAAGGGGATTTCCAGGACTGCCCGGTGAAAAAGGTCAACGTGGTCCAATCGGCCTCCCAGGGATTGGGCTCCCAGGACTTCCTGGACCTCGTGGGCTTCCTGGAGATCAAGGAAGAGATGGATTACCAGGGAAGCAAGGCCTCCCTGGGCCTCCAGGTGAGAAATGCCTCCATGGAGTCAGATGGCTTTGAACTTAGAAAACAGTCTCATAAAATACCTGTGAAATGTGTCCTAAGAGACTTGAATGACTCTAATCCTTACTTTCATTCTGCTTAAAGATGTTCACAATGACAAAGCATCATAGTTGTACCGTGGGAAGTTTAGAGGGCAAAACAACATAGATTTCAGCTGTACTTAGTGAGGAATTTCCTAACAGAACACTCTGAAAATGTAACAGAGCATTCTATGGAGGGCATGAGCTCATAATCCCTCCAAAGGCACAAGGACAAGCTAGATGGCCATTTATTGCAACTGTCCTCAGTGGAATTAGTGGAATATTGGGAAAAGTATTTTGTAAGTTGCATGGTAGTATCAGCAGGAAAGAATCTTTCATCAATTTATGATATCTCAAATTGGGCAGAGACCCTAGTTGCTTCTAATCTAATCCCTATCTGATACATTAACTCCATCCCCATTATGAAACTTCTTTTTCTACCTGAATTTCAGGAATTATAATGAGTGAGAGTCCTGCTAATAGATTATAGAGGTAGTATGCTAATAACCGGTCTTCTTCCATACAGCCAGAACAGCTCTTCATCCCAATGTCTGTTCCCAAAATGTCTATGTTTCCATTACTGGCATCACACTTCTTTAAGTTTCATCTTATTTTTAATTGACACATAATAATTGTCCATATTTATGGGATACACTGTGATGTTTTAATCCATGTATACTTTATGTAATGATGAAATGGGGCAATTAGCTTCTTATGATCATCTGAAATATGAAAAGTTAAAATTATCTCATATTCTTCCTTTGCAATTCCTTTATATTCTTTCCTTCATTTTCTTGCTACTCAACTCTCATTATCTATCTTAAGTCTAGTTGATCAAATACCTATATATACTTTGGAATAAATAGATAGTTGGTTGGGTGAGTAGATGGATGGATGAATGCCTATACAGATAAATGAATGGATGGGTAAGTAAGTGAATGAAAACTTTCTAAGTAGTTTCTCCTCTCGTACCTACAGACTTTTCCCATTTAGTTCTACTATGCACACTGCTGCCAATTTAACATCTACAAAGCAACAGTAGCATCATGCTACTCCCCTAGTGTAGAACCACAAATGATCCCCATTGAATGTAATGCCTAAGCCCTCAGCATGGAATTCAAAAGTCTCCAAACATAGGCACAGCCAACCTTTTCAATCTTATCTCATACTCTTCATAATTAAAAAAAAAAAAAAACCAAGATACCAGTTTTCTTCACTGTATCCAAACACAGTATGTTCATTTCCAATGCTAAGATTTTGCCAATGCTACATTTTTCTGGAGTGTTCTTCCTCTTCCGTTCTTCTCTATGAAGTGGCATCATATCGATCTTTCAGGGATCAACATAAGCCCCAGTTTTGCCATTGAGATTTCACTGGATCTTCACAATATGCCTTTGGTACTTAAGTTATGTATCACCTTCCATTAATGCTTTTATTTTGCCACCTACATTGTAAGCTTCTGGATACTAGAGGTGATGAATAATACCTCTTAGCATTTCTGAACCTACCTAGCAAAGTGTAGTGCTCCATAGGGGACTAATATTTACTTTCAAAACAAGGGACCTTCTTAATAACCAAAAAACTATTTCTTAGACCTACTTTTCTTTCCACCTTGTCGACTTGAAGCATTATGAAAAAAGAAGACAAGATACTACATCTTGTAACATTTTGCTGATTTTGAAACCTATATTTTATGAATTAGTATAATACGAATGATGATACAGGTTAAAATTTAATCATTCATGATTGTTAAAAAGCAAGTCAGTATTTCATTTCACAACTTCTTATGAAAGGTGAGGAATTTTGTGAAACAAAATCATCCTGCTTTTTGGAAGTCCTGGTTGGTGTCAGCTATAGAGAACTTTTCTTCCAGTACTGTTCTCAGGGATATTATTTATAGTCATTCCACTGACCCTCTGCCAATTAATGGGTCTCCATTTTAGGTCAACCTATTTTGCAAGCAACTGGGTTGTAAACTGAATTACAATAACATGGCATTTATAAACTTATACACCCCCTCCCCCCGAAATCTTCTGGGTATTGCCAGCGTTCCATCTGCTTGAGAACAGACTTGAGTCAACAGAAGAAAGCCCACAGGCAGATTTCTATACCAAATTGTACTGGCCCCTGGACAAAGAAATTCCTTAGGAATATAGTGCTAGGACATGCCTTAGGCAGCAAGTATCCTTGTTGTAGTACCAAGACATTCAAAAGAGCTTCAATTAAGAGCATTAGTTTTATTTCTCTTTATAGAAACCAAGTATAACACCTCAAACCTAGCTTTCTTTGTACACAGTTTTGAAAATAACCAACTGTGGTCCCTAGACATTTCTGTGGTAGCCATTTCTGTTGCCACAAAAGATTCAGATGCCGTTCCTAACTGCAGCCACTCCAACCGCTGGTAGCGCAGACCAGGAGAGCATCATTGCCAGGAAATGGAATGTAGTCATCAGAAGCCTTTGAGCCTAGGAGCATGAGTTATTACAGACCCCGGGCAAGCAGACACTGGCTGCTTCCAAAGAGGCCCCACTCCAGATGCTCGTGATGATCAATCTCCCTAGTTATTACTGAAACAGCTACCGTGTACATCATACTGTGTGGGTGCCAGCCCTTTCCACTCAGACCAGATGGGGACATTGATTTGTGAGTATATCTGGGCAGCAGACAGGACTTCCCTGGAGCCCCAAAGACCTTCCATCCTGGTTTAATTGTCTTCTTTATTTGATTGGTCTAGGTGATTGCTGCTGCAGGGAGGGGATTGTAAAGGAGACTTAGAGAGGGAGGGGAGAGGCTGGCTAGGTCTACAAGTTTTCTGACCTCATTGTTGGCCAAAGATTCCTTCCTTTTTGTTCACCTTTGCCTGACATTGATGATAGCCTGAGCTCCACCCTGAAACCCCTGTTTGGGGAGGAATGATGTTAAGGCTGGATGCAAAAGCTTACATGAACACTGCCACGCCCACTGCTTCGAGAGTTCTTTAGCATATATCCCTTGAGCAGGAGTACAGAAGTAAGTGGTTATGCAGCCTCCAACATCCTTCACCATGTATCTTTCTTAAAAAACATTTATTTATTTATTTGAAAGTCAGAATTACAGAGAGAGAGAAAAGGAGAGGCAGACAGAAAGAGAGGTCTTCCATCCGCTGGTTCACTCCCAATTGGCCGCAATGGCCGGAGCTGAGCCAATGCAAAGCCAGGAGCCAGGAGCTTCCTCTGTGTCTCCCATGTGAGTGCAGGGGCCCAAAGACTTGGGCCATCCTCTACTGCTTTCCCAGGCCATAGCAGAGAGCTGGGTTGGAAGTGGAGCAGCCGGGACTTGAACTGGTGCCCCTATGGGATGCTGGCACTGCAGGCAGTGGCTTTACCCGCTATGCCACGGTGCCAGCCGGATATTTTTGTTTTTTTTTAAGCTTGTTTCTTAAGATATAAAGCAATGAAACTACAGTGGCAGAGTTTCACACATTGGAGCCAATGGGATATCGAAGTAGTTGGCAGCAAGAGGGTCTTCATAGGACCCTTGTCGTTATACTGTCTTGTTCAAAGTTCCCAAGATGAAACCGAGCATAGGGTTAGAAGCCCTCCGTGCCCAGTGAAGCCTCATACCATGAGGTGCTTACCTATAGGTGCTTACCTATAGGGTACATTGCCATCGTAGGGAAATAATTCTCAGAAATAGCCCTGTCATCTTACTGTCTGGCAGAATGGAGGGGCGTGTGGCCACTTGTGGAAGAAGATTCAAGATTGTGGCCCCATCTCTACCTGTGGTGATATGACTAAGAAAGCTGAGATCTGGAAGGCAAAAAGTTGCTGCCCAGGCAACAAATTAGCGTCACTAACCCGAGCTAGAATCCAGAGCATGCCTTACACGAGCTCTTCTGAATACTTCTCCTAAAGTGAGGTAATAAGAACTGTTGTTCACTGAGCATGTACCGGAGGCCATGCACTGTGCTAAGTGCTGTTAGCCTGTTTCATGTGATCCTTACAAACGCCACATGAGATAGGTCATTCCCATTTTACCCCTGAGGCTCAGAGAGTTGAATTATCCTGTCTCCACAGCTAGTTAGTTGCATAACTGGGATACCACCTGAGGTCTGTCTTCCTTTAAAGCCCATCTTCTTAACCAATACATTACCAAGGCTTCATATCAGAAAATAAAGGTGGGGCTGGTGCTGTGGCACAGTGGGTTAAAGCCCTGGCCTGAGGCACCAGCATCCCATATGGGCGCCAGTTCTAGTCCCAGCTGCTCCTCTTCCAATCCAGCTCTCTGCTATGACCTGGGAAAGCAGTAGAAGATGGCCTAAGTGCTTGGGCCCCTGCAGCCACGTGGGAGACCTGGAGGAAGCTCCTAGCTCCTGGCTTTGAATCGGCACACCTTGGGCCATTGTGGCCATTTGGGAAGTGAACCAGCGGAGGGAAGACCTTTCTCTCTGTCTCTCCCTCTCACTGTCTTTAACTACCTCTCAGATAAATAAGTAAAATCTTAAAAAGAGAAAAGAAAATAGAAGTGGGCTTGGAAGAGGAATGCCAGCTGTTGAGGAAGCAGTCTGAATCATAGGCTGATGCACATTTTTCAGAAATGCAATTGTGATGTGTTTTAAGTACAGGCAAATGCTATAGCACTTTATTACAATTGTTGGCTTGGTAGTTTAAACCAGACCTTAGGGGATTATTTTGATGAATAGGCAAATCTCATTTTAATTAGCATAGCAATTGTTGGTAAATGGCACTTGAGAGTGTCTCCAAACAATTTGTTCACCAGTATTTTATTAAACCTCCCCTCTGTGATCTTATAAAAATCTTTTTCTTTGCTTTATGAATGAACAAGGAAGAATGTGCTAGGGTAAGGACTATGCATGCCAATTCTGACATCTAATGAATGCTGAAATTGACTACCCCATCTCCTTGAGCAGACAGTGTTAACTAAGGAGCTGAGAGAAAGGGTCAGCATTTGTCCGCCATGGCCAAGAGAGTAGTCTTCCATGTCCACCCAGTACAGACATACAGTACATATGACCAAGGACAATCAGTAGGTTTCAGTATATTTAAAAGGAAGTGTATCAATAGATCCAGGGGTTTAGGAAAAGCCTCATTCCAAGAAAAGTGTAGACATATGAATTTGAGAGATTATGGCTTCAAACTCCCAATCCAATGACATGGGCATAAAGGAGCCTTGGTACTAACCCCAGGCACCATCCTAGGAAGGGGCTCTGAGGTCAGAGTGCGTAGACAATTGGTGCTTGTTGCTGTTCCTGTACAGAACTCCTCTAGCAAACCTCGGTAGGTAACATCTGCCGCATAGGTGATCGCTTGCCCGTTGATTTGATCAGTGATATCCTGGCCCTTGGACATTAGAGGCGTTCTGATCTGTAGGCAGTTACACTGATAGCCACTCCCAAGAGCGTCTGATGCCATGATTTTTCTGTGTGGGCTCCCAGCCACCATGTAAAGGAAACTTGATCAGCCCGCTAAGTGGAATGGAAGTACAGGAGCATGCTGGGAGGGAATGCTCCCTGACTCAGTGGATTGACCAAATGCATACGTATTTCCATTTACAGGAATCACCTTGCCTTGTATTACTTCTGGATTATATGGCCCATCGGGATCTTCTGGAGCACCTGGATTCCCAGGTATGGAAAGAGGCTGAGCGCACTTGTAGGGGCCATGAGCTAAAGAAAGCAAGGTGTAGCCCACTAGGGTTCCCCATTTCTCCTGTGGGCAGCCTTAGGGATTGAGGAAACAGAATAGTTGCTGGAGAAGGCAGCAGGGAAAGGTGAGACCAGGAGAGGCTCTCCAAGATTCTAGGGTTTTTGATTGAACATCATAAATCATAACTAGCATTGTTGCCTTTCCTTTGCCTTCACTACTTACATTTGTGTTTTCAGGCCCTAAGGGGACCCAGGGCCTCCCTGGGACTCCAGGCCAGCCTGGATTACGTGGAAATAAAGGAGAGCCAGGAAACCCCGGATTGGTTCATCTCCCTGAACTGCCAGGTGAGGAAGGAAGCTTCTCACTTGTGTCTGCTTTTGTGTCAATGTGTTGGTGTTAGCCCTGTGCCGATTACAGGAAGCTAGGTTTGCTTTCTGGCGTGGATAGAATGATCCGATTTCATACCCAGGCAAGACAGAGTGCAGCGCTGTAGAATGGCAGTGTATCAGAGCACTAAGTGCTATTGGACACCCACTGGGACTCCCCCTTAACTTTCAGATGAGGAAACTGGGGCCCAAATGGGAAGGAACTCGCCCAAGTGGTGAAGCGTCCTAGTAACAGAGCCAGGACTCTGTAGGTTGTTTGCCTGCCAGTCCCGTGGCAGTTTCTGGGATCAGCTCCTGAAAGAGTCAGATCAGTCAAAGGGGAGTTGTCTATTTCTGCTCCTTTTCTCATATTTTGTTGCTCCAACCTGGACATCATGGTTCTCAAATTGTGCTCCCAGAGCCATCATCAGCAACACCTGAGAACATGTTGGAAATGTACATTCTCAGCCACAAACAGTTAGCTGGTGTTCACATGCTCACACCGCTCTGGGGGCAGGCCTGGCAATCTGTATGTACACCAAGCCATTCTAATGCCTGGGCAGGTTTGAGAACCACCCCTGGTCTTGGTCTCCAGGCTCCCTAGGGCCCTGAGCTCCTGGCTTTATCAGTGCCTCAGCTCCTTCCACCTCCCTCTCCCCACCGAAGAAGATGGAGGTGTGGCAGCAGGAGGTGGAGATGGAGCCTTTGCCAGAAGGCCTTGGCTGTCACCTGTGCTCTCAGCTGCCGCAGGAGCCCAGGAACAGTTGCTTATCCCTGCCTGCGGGCTGGGCTTGTGGACCTAGAACCTCCTCCAGGTCACGCGTGAGGCAGTGCCTGCTTCTACACAAGCTGAACCAGAACCACAGACCTCCGATAGTCAAGAGAAACGATGTGTATTATTGCCATGCTAGTTTTTATGCTAGAAAAACCTGAGATCGCTACTGAAATGAATCACCTTTACACCCATGGCCTTTTCTTTCTGCCTCCACATTCAGGATTTCCTGGACCGCGTGGGGAGAAGGGCTTGCCTGGGTTTCCTGGGCTCCCTGGAAAAGATGGCTTGCCTGGGAAGGCTGGCGGTCCAGGTTTACCAGGTTCCAAGGGAGTCCCTGGTGACATCTTTGGTGCTGAAAATGGTGCTCCGGGCAAACAAGGCCTCCAGGGATTGCCAGGGGACAAAGGAGTTTCTGGAGACTCTGGCCTTCCAGGACCCAAGGGTGACTCTTTTTGCCCCTTATTTAACAGTCTGCAGAAAGCCTTAGAGTAACCGGTATTCTTGCATGAATCTGGGGTGATGGGTAAATGAGGGGGTTAAAATAAAATATCATTTGGCTCTGGCCCTCCTTTGGAGGAAATTTTCCTTGAATTGTCTGAGTCCATTCCCCTGACTTAGTAATTTCCGAAGTGGCCACACTAACTGGCAGATATCTTGCAAAGCCTCTGGTTTACTGCTGGAAATAGCAAGAAGGCTGGAGCTGAGGAGATGATGGTGCCTGAGCTGAGTCCCAGGCCAAGCTCTTCTGCTGGAAGTTGTTTGGGGGAAACCAGGCCTTCTATTGCTCTGTGATCGATCATCTGTCCCTTCCTTTCATTAGGTTTGCATGGGAGGTCTGGCTTGCCAGGTCCCAAAGGCGAGCGGGGCAGCCCTGGATCACCAGGACTCATGGGCCAGCCAGGACCCTCGGGGTCTGGTGGTCTGTATGGCATCAAGGGCAAATCGGGACTCCCAGGAGCACCTGGCTTTCCAGGCATTGCAGGTAGGTCCCAGCTCGACAGACTTCAGCTAGGCCCTGGACCCAGGCATCCTGGCAGGGGGGGAGGGCGCAATAGCAACTGTGTGACAGGGCCAAATTTAGAATGCGACCTGACTTGCCTAGTGTTTCAAGTCTCAAATCACACATCAGCCTAGCAGTTCCAGCAGAACAGGTTGCTGCATTTAGCTTCCAAAAGATTATCACAAAACACTCTCTGTCTCCTCCTGCCTGCTCCATATCCCCTTTTCATGCATCAGCCTCCCTCCTACCTTCCATAGCAGGGGTAATGATATAGCACAGCCCCAAAGCTGGTTGGAAGAATTGCTATAGAACTCCCCAAACTGGGTCCGCCCACCTGATATGCAGAAAGCGAGTCACTGACGTCAGGGTGCTGGAAGAAAGGAGATGTTTCTTCAAAGCACAGAGCAAGGAGTCAGGCAGCTGTTGCTTCATTCTCCAGGCTCCTCAAATGCCTAGGAGTGAAAGTTATTATAAATTGATGTTGGGGTTTGGAGGTGCATGTTCAATGGTTGGTTGGTGCAGGTCCCTGGTTGCTTGGCGGTGCACACGGCCTTCCTTTGATTGGTTGGTGATTGTGTGGTGGCAAATTGGGCTTCAGTCAGTCTGGGGGCTGCAAGGCAGGTGGTAGTTACTTCCCGCTCAAGGCCTAGAGTTCCTGGAGAAGAAAGCCCTCGAGAGAAGACTGTATATCAGGTTGTTCTCCATTGGAGAAATAAATGACCTCATGAGTCCAGTGATTAGAACCCCAAAGGGCTGGGTGATTAGGGACCTCCTAGAGGCAGCTGCACCACTCCCTAAGTTCGGTGAGTTCATTTTAGTTAAGTGTTTAATCAGCATTCGTAAAAGCAGGGTGAGGACACTTTGAGCGAAGGAAGAGGGGCTGGGAGTCTGGGAAACTGGGACCTAGTGGTATCTAGCATCTACATCAAAGTGCCATATAGGGGCTCGGTTTTAATCTCCCCTATTTCTTGGTACTCTTCAGTCCCTTAGGGAGTAAGGAAGATCTTTCTGGCTATTTCCTGCTATTAAGAGATGAAATGAAATGTTTCAGGATCGGAGGAGAGGAATTTGTAGCCATTCATTTTAAGAAAATTCCTAGTCCTGGGCTTAACTGAATAGATTGTCTGTGTTATGATTGTTTGGCCTAGCTAGTCCCTACACAGCATTATCTAGCAAGTGCATCATCATTCCACAGTAATAATAAAAGCAACAACATACTAATATTCCTCTACCTATAATGCCAACCAAAAAGATTAGTAGTTTTTGCCACCAGGGACTTCCAGAAGTAGAGCCACTGATTAATTAAGATTTGGTGAAGGGTCAGATGTAGCATTGATCTAGGTGTGTAACACTATCGTTTAAGGCATGCTGAATGTGGTTTGTCATTGCTTTAATGTGCAAAATCACATCCTCCAGCCCTGTCTCTGGAAGAAAGATGGACTGCAAGTGATCATACCAATGCATGACAGACCTGGTCTATCCATTGCCAAGGCAGGGTTTGGAAATTGACATGCTTTTGTATATTTTTCCCATCTTCCTTGAACCCAAGGGAGGCTGAGAGCAGTCTCTCCCAGGGAAAGTCAGTGCCATCAACATCCCTTTCGTTAGTTAGAGTAGGTATAAAGGTTTCCTCTCTCACCTCTTCTGAGGGGTAAGGCATATGGGTGAGGGCTATGAGTTCAGCCTCCTGTACCAGGATACCTGGTGGCAATGTTTCTGTTTCCAAGGTTCTCTGGAGAGTTACCACTGCATACCTTTATTTTGGTAAAGATTTATTTATTTATTTATTTGAAAGAGTTGCACAGAAAGAGAAGGAGAGGCAGAGAGAGAGAGAGAGGTCTTCCATCCTCTGGTTCACTCCCCAATTGGCCACAATGGACAGAGCTACGCCAATCTGAAGCCAGGAGCCAGGAGCTTCTTCCAGGTCTCCCACACGGGTGCAGGGGCCCAAGGACTTGGGCCATCCTCCACTGCTTTCCCAGGCCACAGCAGAGACCGGGATCGGAAGTGGAGCAGCCAGGTCTTGAACCGGTACCCATATAGGATGCCGGCACTGCAGGTGGCACCTTTACCCACAACGCCACAGCACTGGCCCCCACTGCATACCTTTTAATTTCTCTGGTCAGTAGAGTGTTTCCAATCATGAAGAGTTCCAGCTCTGGGTCTCTAAGCGGACATCAGTCAGGTCCAGCCTGCTGGGATATACTTGTGAAATAACTTGTAAGCAGTCATATATATATATATATATATATATATATATAGAGAGAGAGAGAGAGAGAGAGAGAGAGAGAGATTCCCCAGGGAGATCTGGGGACAAGGTGGCTGGATTTAAAGGTGATACAGTTTTAGAGTACCATTTCAGTTATCAAATAGTAAGGGTTGATATTTCCCCATATGACTGGAAGTGAGCTGGTAACCTCTCTTCTGTTCCAGAGTGAATGGACTGCTTGTCTCCTGGAATACATCATTCTCAGATCATCCAGCTTAGGGTGAAAATGTCCAGATTTTTGTAACATGTGCCATTGGTTACTTGTTTTTTACAAATATTGCCTCTGGTAGAGTCTTCCTTTATAACTCTTCAGGTTGATCTAATTGGGCTGAGGGCTGACACCAGTGACACCATCATGATGTTTATTCCCTCATTGTGATCAAGATCTTCTTTCTGGAAACACCACTGAGCAATCATCCTGTAGCTAGGTTCTGTTTGTTTCTCACTGCCACCTTGGATTTGACCTGGCTGTTGACTTGACCTGCTCCCCCATTGGAAGAGATGATTGAGAACCAAAAGTCAGCGTCAAAAGACCTTTTAGCCACATTTGATCACCAAAAAGGTTTTAGAAGGAGTGGTTCATAGGTTAACTTTGCCTGGATTACATTATTAAACTTTTTTTAAAAGATTTATTTATTTATTTGAAAGGCAGAGTTACAGAGAGAGAGAGAGAGAGAGAGAGGTCTTTCATCCACTGGTTCACTCTCCAATTGGCCGCAACAGCCGGAGCTGTACCCATCCGAAGCCAGGAGCTTTTTCTGGGTCTCCCACGTGGGTACAGGGGCCCAAGGACTTGGGCCATCTTCTGATGCTTTCCCAGGCCATAGCAGAGAGCTGGATTGGAAGTGGAGGGGCACCAGCATCCCACATGGGCACCCGGTTCTAGTCCTGCTGCTCCTCTTCCAGTCCAGCTCTCTGCTGTGGCCCGGGAGTGCAGTGGAGGATGGCCCAAGTGCTTGGGCCCTGCACCCACATGGGAGATCAGGAAGAAGAACCTGGCTCCTGGCTTCGGATCAGTGCAGCGCCAGCGATAACAGCCATTTGGGGGGGTGAACCAACGGAAGGAAGACCTCTCTCTCTGTCTCTCCCTCTCACTGTCTATAACTCTACCTGACAAATAAAATAAATAAATAAATAATTCTAAAACTCAGCAATTCACAAGGAGAGCCGGTGATGTTCATTGTGTATAATATCTTAGAAAGCACCTGTATGAGTTTTTTAATTTTTAAAAAAATATATAAAGGGAACAGGTTTCCCACATTTCATATCTATGGTTTCAAAAACATCACAGGACTTCCCATGCTACCCTCCCTCCTTCCCTTGCTCTCATCCTCTCTCCTCCTTCCTTCCTTATTTTTCTTTTAATTTTTGCAATGAAATACTTTCAATTTACTTTAATCACAAGCTTAATCCTCTACTAAGTAAAGAATTCAACAAGTAGTAAGTAGAAAAATCACTATTCCTCAGGAGTGTAGACAAGGGCTGTGAACAACAATCCAACAGTCAAATCTCAAAATGTTAATTTTGCTCATATACATTACATATTTTTGTCTTCTCACAAAGCAGAGAAAACATACAATATTTGTCTTTTGGAGACTGACTTAGTTCACTGAGTAGAATAGTCTCCAATTGCATCCATTTTGTTGAGAAAGATGGGATTTCATTCTTTTTATGGCTGAGTAACATTCCATTGTGTATATATACCACATTTCTTTATCCAGTCATCAGTTGATGGGCATCTGCATTGATTATGGTTATACAAAAATGTCTCTTTTAGGCCTCTAGGATTGTAACACAAGGGGGCAGTCTCAAAGATGTCTGAAGGGCCCCTGGTTCTCTTTTTGCATTAAGAGAACAATCCTGGTGGTAAGTCACACCAGGACCACTAGACCTTTACAAATTTGATCTGTAAGACATATCAGTAACATACTATATAGGTATAAAGTTTAGCATCACTCACAACTTAACAGTGCTTTCCATACAGTGCAAATCAGCCTACTTAGCACTCGGGCCATCCTCTACTGCTTTTCCCAGGCCATAGCAGAGAGCTGGATTGGAAGTACAGCCACTGGGACAGGAACCGGTGTCCATATGTGATGCCAGCACCACAGGGAGAGCACTGACCCCCATCATCCAGGCTTTTAAGGGAAACATTTTTGGTGTACAGTCCTGCTAAATTAAAACTAAGGAGGGGGGCTGGCGCTGTGGCGTAGCAGGTAAAGCCGCCATCTACAGTGCCAGCATCCCATATGAGCGCCAGTTTGAGTCCTGGTTCCTGGTTGCTCCACTTCCAATCCAGCTCTCTGCTGTGGCCTGGGAAAGCAGTAGAGGATGGCCCAAGTCCTTGGGCCCCTGCACCCACGTGGGAGACCCAGAAGAAGCTCCTGGCTCCTGGCTTCGGATTGGCGCAGCTCCAGTGGTTGCAGCCAGTTGGGGAGTGAACCAGCAGATGGAAGACCTCTCTCTCTCTCTCTGCCTCTCCTTCTCTCTCTGTGTAACTCTGACTTTCAAGTAAAATAAGTAAATCTCTTAAAAAAACTGAGGAGGAAAAGGTGCTGACTATAAAGTCAGGAAAGAGGATCAGCAAATGCAAACTGCACAGGAGGGAAAACTACAGTCCAGAAATGACTGAAAGAATTAAGGAAAAACAGAATTTATTGCCAACATTTTTGCTAACAGAAAACCTTATTACTTTAACATAGAGGAGCAAATGCAGGCCTCAAGTCAGTATACCTTTGATAATAATGCCCAATTTTTAGAAAGCTTCATAAATAATTTAAGTTACAGTGAATTTTATCACGTTAATGATATTGAAAATATCTTAACCCCCACCTTTTAAACAACTTTAAAGCAGCTTATTTATCAAAGATTTGCTAAAGTTAGGTGAACCAACAGGCATTTGAGTTAATGTGCTGTTTCTGAACCATTATTCTAGGTATATCCCATTTTCTCTGTGTTGACTCACTTTGATACAATCACAGCATCAAAGCTTACATACATGGAACTCACTCCATTTTCTTTTCTTTTCATGAAGCCCCTGTAGCTGAAAGACAGTAACATAACCCAGAGATCTATTAAGTGGCCACTTCCCATTCAATCTCAGAGAACACTGTGGCAAGCAGTATTACTGTAAAACATCATCTTTCTTTACTAGGTTTCCAAGTAAGATTTCTTAATTTTGCCAAATTCATCATAGGAGGATCTAAGAATAGAGCTCTGGTTACCCACTGCTATTTCCAGCTGGACTTAGGAAAGAACCACGGCACAAAACAAGTTTAGAAAGCTACGAAGCTATTGGTCAAAGCAGTGATCTCTCTCCAGCTCCAAAAAAGGGAAAGGTCCCTTTAAGCTTACTAACTATTCAGTCACATCTGAGCCAGATTAACACAAGAGCTATTACTCTGCCATCCTCATGTACAAGATTGCTACTCACGAAAGGCATCTCCCCAGATTTCAGGCTGAATGTAAACCAAGTGTCTTCCACTCTAAAAGCACCTTGAGACAACGACACCTGGTGAGGCTGCCCCTGTGACAAACAGGTGTTCAGAGCACTGCAGGACAGCCCTGAATGGGTCACTGTGGGCCAGGGACCAATATGCCACAGGCATGACGCCCACTCGAGACTGTAGTCCCTTCGGGATTGGCGTTTAGAAATAGAACAGTCTCAAAAACTGGTTGAAGGAGTTGCTACAGAAACCCCCTCTGCCAAACTGGGTCCACTCAACTGACACAGAGTCAGTCATTGACATTGGGGTGCTGGAAGGAGACAGGTCTTTATTAAAAAGCACAGAACAAGGAGCTGGGCAGCTATCGTTTAATTCCTGGAATCCCCAAGCAGTTAGGGGTGAAGGTCATTATGGACTGAGGTTGGGCTTGAGAAGGGCATATTCAGTGCTTGTCCAGGTCCCTGGTTGGCTGGTCATGCTCATGGCTTTCCTTTGGTTGGTCATAATACCATGTGTGTCAGGAGATTTTTTTTTAAAGATTTATTCATTTATTTGAAAGGCAGAGTTACAGAAAGGCAGAGGCAGAGAGAGAGAGAGGTCTTCATTTGCTGGTACACTCCTCAGATGGCTGCAACAGCCGGAGCTGTGCCAATCTGAAGCCAGGAGCCAGGAGCCTCTTCCTGGTCTCCCATGTGGGTGCAGGGCCCAAGGACTTGGGCCATCTCCTACAACTTTCCCAGGCCATAGCAGAGAGCTGGATTGGAAGTGGAGCAGCCGGTTCTCGAACCAGGGCCCATATGAGAAGCCAGCACTGCAGGCAGCGATTTTACCCACTACACCACAGCGCCAGCCCCAAGGGGATTTTTATGATGGCAAAATGGGCTTCAGTCAGTCTGGGGGCTACAATACAGGGAGGGGGGCAGTAGTTGCTTCTCTTGGCTTAGAGTTTCTGGAAAAGAAACCTCTGGAGACAAGACCCAACATTAGATGTTCTCCATTGGAGAAAAAAAAACACCTCATGAGTCCAGTGATTAGTACCCTTATGTCTGCTGACTGGGGGCCTTATAGGGTCAGCCACACCACCTTCTCAATTGGATGAGTTTGACTAAGTGGTTGATTAGCAATGAAAAAATCAGGTGAGGACACTTTAAGCTGCGGGAGGTAGGCTGGGAGACTGGGAGCTGGCCATATGTAGCATCTGCATTCCAGGCAGCGTATAGGGGCTCGTGCTCAGGAAGTTATTGTCATTGCAATGGATCTCGCCCCTCTCCATTGCTCTCGCTGAGGCTGCGGAGAGCAGGCGCTGGGCTGGGGAACAAGGACATGCTTCCCCAATGCGTTTTGCTTAGCCGTGAGGCCTGCCACCCACCCCCCACCCACCCCCACTTCCAGCTTACTGTTTGCAACCTGCCTTTTGCTTGCACCACCCGCCTCGCTCCCACTCAGTGACCACATCCACCCCCCTCCCCTTACGCCTGGCCAAGTGACTGAAGCCGAGTTCTTTGCAGAGCCATTGAGACCCTCTGGATCGCCTTTGTCCTCCTGTCCTGCTGCCATCTTCTCGTAGACTGCCCTGGTTTTGAAATCACAGCACACAAGGTCACAGACTAAGACCCCCACCAGGGAATTCTCTGATTCTACACTATGACATGGTCTTGTTTACAAGGCCGGGCAGCCCTGAGCTCATGCTGCGGCCTTGGCTCCCATTGAATTCCCTTCCCTTGTGCTGGAGTCCCCTTCACAGCCTCCCATTGGAATCCTGGGGCCTGAAGCTACTTGATGCTTTTCATTTCAGAGGAAACCAAGTCAGCCATTCATTTAGGTCCTTGGGGGCTCAAATTCCTCTGTCGTCATTGATTTAATCCTTTGGTTTTCTTTTTTTTTTTTTAATTTCCTTGCTTTGTACCTGAACATTCCACTTTGGCAACAGCTCAGGAGATTAATCCCATTGACCAACTTAAAGCGTGATCAAAAACTGCTCACAATACCTAGGAGACCGAATGGGCCTTGTGGGTTTCTACAGCACTTGGCACTAGGGGGTCTTTCAACCCTAATGCCAAGGAACTGGCTGACTTCACTGCTGGCTTGAGGGATTAAAAGGGCAGCCCTGTAGCCAAGGCTCCCTGGGAGGCTGAAACAACAGCTCAGCTTTAACCTCTGTTTCACCGATTCAAACAGCCATTGTGCTGGGATTCAGACTGCAAGTACCGGGAAACTGGAGCCCACTCACCACCCTGGCTTCACAGAGCTCCATTCAGAGGCAAAAACATGAAGCACATTCATAAAAAGGAGAAGTTATAATAAGAAGGGGCTTGCCCTTGCCCCCAACTTCTATGCCATGCTGGAAGTGACAGCCATTGGGCATGGTGCTCTGGGTGCTAGGTGCTAAATGCTCTAGCCAGCCTGTTAACAGCTTGCATATGTCATTGTTAAAGGCCCATTCACAAAACACAGCAAGCCAACCAATCAGCCGCCATGGGAATAGGCAGTGGGCCAAATCTGGCCACAGCCTCACGTGACAGTTGTTTTGTGTTCTCTCCTCTGCTGATTCAGGACATCCTGGAAAGAGAGGTCCGAAAGGTGAGACAGGTTACCCTGGCGCAACTGGAAAGAGAGGCCAGCCTGGGCTCCAAGGCCATTCTGGATCTCCCGGGGCAGCCGGCCTCCTGGGGAGCCCAGGGTTGCCAGGGGACACTGGCTTGCCAGGCCTCCTGGGCCCGAAGGGTAAGTGAAATGAAGACAGACAGTGAAGTGACAAGGGAGCTTCCCAACTGCTTATCTTATTCTAGGCTCCCTACCCAGGGGTGAGGAAGAGGGAGGGAGGAAGGCAGGGCTTCTTGTGGCAAGGAAGTTAGACAAGCCAATGCTGGTGGTGAGGATCACCCTCCAGGGTGAGTCACACACCCTGCCTGCCGGGTGGAACACTGGGCTGTATAGCAGAGTCAGCAAAGCCCAGAGCAGGAACAGCCACACTGGTTGATTCATTTGCACGATCCCTAGGATTGCCCTGAGAGCCATTGGTGGTTGTGCAGGAGGCATCTGTATATTAAACCGAGGACAGAAACTGTTCCAAGGCCACACAACTGGTTAGTAACAGAGCCAGGCTCCAGAGCTAATCTCCTGCCTCCTGGCCCCAGGCTTTATTATTTTTCTAAGTGGCACATGAGCCATAACTTGGTGAATCCTAAGAGAGGGGCTCACTTCCTCCCTGCTTTGTGGTGCTTAGTGCCATGTCCCTGTTCTGAGACTGTGGAGTTAGAGACACCTAACTTCTCTGCAATTTCCAAGCTGTGTGACTTTGGACCATTTATTCAACTTCTCTGAGCCTATGTTTCCTTTCATGCAAAATGGGGGTACTAGAAACTTTTCTTTCTCAACAGGCGAGAAGGGGTCCGTTGGACTGGTCGGTTTCCCAGGGGTTCCAGGTCTTCCTGGTATTCCTGGTACAAGTGGACTAAAGGGAATTTCGGGATCACCTGGGAAGTTGGGAGCATTCGGACAGGCTGGTGGTCCTGGTGAAAAAGGTAAGCTGGAGACTTGAATTCCAGAGCTATGACTCATGTTTTATAAGGTGTGCTGTGCTTGATGGCTTCGTCATATGACTCTATGTTAGATAAGATTTGAGGCTTCAGAATGAAGTCATTTGAAGTCAGAAGATCTAATGACTTCTGAGTCTCACTGCATGGTAGAGGCCTTGTCTATACCGTCCCAGGTGATCAGTGGAGGCGGGTTTTGAGTAGGGTCTAAAATTGCTGGCAGACTGTGGAAGTATAGAAGGAGAGAGCACAGACACAGACATGCGAGATTGGAGGCCTGAGAGCACGGAAGATGGAAGGGTACAGGAAGAAAGCCAGGAGGTGACATAGGAAGGAACAATACGGAGGTCAATCCTTGCCTGGCCTCGTGTCTAAGCTCTCTGTTTCGGAAAAACCTGGCATATGAGAACCAGCTGCCGACAGAGAAGAGGATTGAGAGACCAAAGAAAGAGGACAAATCCAAGATTACATAGAGTATAATTTATTAGAGAGACTTTAGAGACAGAAGCATGGTCTTGGGCAGCCGTAAGATGTATGGATCTCTTCGTCATGGAGCAAGAAATAAGTTTTATAGACAAAGATGTTCTGCAGCTAACCTAAGTGCACCTGGATTTCCTTAGTAAATATTAACATTCCTGACACTAGATACGGCCCATTCCAGAGTCCAGCCTGGCAAGACAAGCCTGGCAGTTTATCTTAATGACTTCATTTATCCCATAAGATGTGCTATAACTCTTAGGATTACCGAAAGAGCAAGGTGGCAGTTACACCCAAGATGGCTGTGGACATATCAAGCTGAATCCTTACGTCCACGCCTTGTAACTGTCTCACAGTCTCACTAGCCCCTCCCTTCCGTGATGGACCCCAAGCCTGCAAGGGCTTTTTAACATTGTCTTGGTGAAATGTTTTGGGCCCATTTTTTGTCCAGCTTCTCAGCAGAATCCGCAGTAGCAATAGAGGCACAGGCATGAAAAGAGACCAAAGGTGATTATGCGGATTGTAATAACAATAAGAAAACCTTGACCGGAAAAGCAGACCCCAGTGGAAACAGCAGCAAAAACAACATTGGCCACAGCTGTGGATAGCAACTTTGTAAGGACTTAGCTTGGGCGATCTGCGCCAACAAGGCAATGCAGGCAGACAGCAGAGCAGCAGCAGCTGGGGGCTGGTGTTGGGGAGAGGGGGCAGACCGCACATGTTGGTTCTCTAGAGAGTGACAAGATCTCTAAAGCTAAGGGGGAAATGGCCTGACCTACGAGCCAACTTTAGTGCCCGAGGTGTTTCCTTTAGCTCACTCAGGGCATTAGCTGTGATCCCAGGTTTACAGGCTAGCGGGATAGAAGGGAGACCAATTTAGGAGGGCTGGAAACTCCTCCCACTGTGGCAAGAAATAGCCAATCGACTCCCAGGGCACCAGACCCTTCCAGCCCCGTTTCCATTGACCCCTTCCTGTGGGCTCTGGGTTTGTAGCAACTCAGGAAGCGAGTATAAGGATGTGCAGCTCGGGCACGGATGCTGTCTGGGACTGGCGCTCATTAGGGCCAGGCGTGCCAGCCATGTGAGTGCTTTCGTGTATTCACGCTTCTCTAAGGGTTTCAGTTCAGTTGGCCAAGGAGGGTTTACCTAACAGGGTCCGTATTTATGGTTTTAACAAGCTATTTGTTTTGCACCACCAACTCTGCTGCCTGGGGGTTATGTGGCAGATCACATCATGTGCTTGAGTGTTCTATCAAGTGTTCTTCTACTGGTTCTATCACCCATAGTTTTGTTGATGGGCTGCCCTGATCTAACCCTGCCTCAAATCAGATAGCATCGTGGGTGGGTTGTGCTGCAATACCAGTCCAGACACATGTGTTCCCCCTGCAGAACCCATCTGTATACCAAGTATTTCAGGTACAGGAGCCACCCCTTGCACATAGTGGGCCTAGGCACTGAGATAATGGGAAATGAAAGGCCACAAAGGGCCTCACAGAAGCCTGTGCATCCATTACTATGTGGGATAAAGGGAAAGTTGGTGCTCTGTCAAGGACCATGCCAAGTATTAAATGGATCATTTGTAACGATGTATTTATTGATTTATAAGTCAGACTGAGAGAGAAAGAGAAAGAGATCTTCCATCCCCTGGTTCATTCCTCAAATTGCCACAACAGATGGAGCTGCGCTGATCCGAAGCCAGGAGCCAGGAGCTTCTTCCAGGTCTCCCATGTGGGTGCAGGCACCCAAGCACTTGGGCCTTCTTCCACTGTGTTCTCAAGCACACCAGTAGAGAGCTGGATGGGAAGTACAGCAGCCGGGACTCGAATTGGTGCCCATAGGAGATGCCAGAACTACAGACCGTGGCCTAAGCCACCGTGCCCCAGTGCCTGCCTGTTAAATTTATCTGACCCAGCTAGCTCACCCTGAGAAACTTCACAGATGGGCCAAGGCCTTGATTTTTGGGGGGACACATAGGCTGTCCGCTCACCTAGAAGTAGGTGCAAAAACGATCTACTGTCTCCTATAAGAGAGCATCATTCTCCTTTTAGCATGCTATCAATAGAACAAAACCAGCCAAATGCCAGTAGCAAATGAGAACAGGATGAGGTCCCCTTGCCAAAGACACAGTGAGAATAGCAGGAGTACGCAGATACGCTTGGGGCAGCACCTGGAAACTCCACCATCTGCCCTCCCTTGAAGGTGAAGGTGAACTGATCTGGTGAACCTGCCTGTAAAGGGATGCTGGACAAAGCCTTAGCTAAGTCCAAGACAGCAGGCACAGGACCAAGAGAAGCTGGTAGGTTTTCTAACACCTGGGTTATACTGGGAACAGCAGTGCCAAGATTGGGTCACGTTTGTTTTCTAGTTACCCAGACTGGTCTCTCAGTTTGCTCTTCCCCAGGCTTACTTTGTTCTCTTCCCTTTCCCTGTTTGGTGACAAGGCACACTGTATCACAGCAACATCCATTCTCTATCAAGTCAACTACAGCTTCCCCAGCATCACACCCATCCTGCCCAGCAACTGGACTAAGGACCTTACCGTTGAGGGCGAGGGGACTACTTTGTAACAGCTGGTGGTACACACACTGGTGATAAAAACCGCTTTACTGGGCCCCTCAAGTATCAGGGTGTGGATGGCCTGCCACATTCCCACTGTGATAAGGGAACAATTTCCCCTCGCCGGGCAGGTGCTATGCAGCCGCCTCTTAAGCGCTGAGTGGGTTGTGAGAGTATTCATTTTCTCAGTTCTATTTCCTGCCAAAGAAATACCAGCTCCTCCCAGAGCTCAAAACCTCACCACACAGGCAGTCAGACTCTCACAAGCCCATTGTTTAAAAGTTTCGGCCATGTCTAACAACCCTTCGAGGTATATTCTCTAGTCATCAGAGGTTCGTGCACAGGGGCCAGTTCCACTTGAGCTGCCTTTGTGTTCCTTGGGCTTTTGTCATTCACTGCAAAGGCCCTCGAGCAGAGAAGCACAGGTCATAGGTAGGGAGAGAGTCTTCCTCTCCAACTGCCTTAACATCTCCTCCCCCTCCTCCTCACTCCCTCCCAGAGATTCCAGTGTTTTATGACCCACTCATGTCGTGTGACAGTAGCCCTAACTTGTCGCTAATTCTACTTCCTGTCTCCTAGTCAGACAAAACAGCAGGCTAGAGTCTCTAACTTAGAATCCCATTCCTCTACTTCCTCTGCCAAGTTGGAAGCCAGGAGCTAAATGGAGATATGCCTATGCCTCTCTAATTGTAATTCCTCCTCAAGTTGTCTTACCTTCACCCTGTGGTTTGTTACATGGCCTGCAACAATGGCTATCCAACTGTGGTTTTGGTGACATTCAGCAAACAGTTGCTCCAAACCCAGCGATGCTTTGGGAACATTCCCATACTTACCCAGTGGGCTTCAAGCATCCAGCATGTAGGCCACCTCTCCCCACAGAGAGATAAATGGCCTGCCCAGGATTTCTTCCAAGAACTCATAATATGACAATTGCTTTAAGTAACACTTTGACCTGAGAATCAGTCCTGAAGGCTTCCTGGTCTTCCTGAAAAGCCTAGCAAAAAATGTTCTACATGAAGGACCTCTGTGAGTGAGACCCCAGTGGAAAGAAGTGGCCATCAAAGAAGGATGTATTTTTCTCTAAAGAGAGGAGAGAACTTCCACTTTGCGTATGGCCTTGTCTAAATACTGACTGTGTTGAGTCAAAAGGCTTCCATAGCCCAGGCAGCTCATGTCAAGAGCCTTGGGTAGTCACTGACGTCATACATAAGAGAGTTAATTGTTAAATTAACAACAGGAGTCACTGTGCACTAACTCCCCATGTAGGATCTCTGTCCTCAATGAGTTGTATTATGAGAGTTAACTGTAAAACCAGTTCACAAAACAGTTTTTGTGTGTGTGTGCAAATTGTTGAAATCTTTACTTAGTATAGAGTTGGTCTTCTGTGTACAAAGTTAATTGAAAATGAATCTTAATGGAGAATGGGACTGGGAAGGGGACAGGGAGGAGAAGTAGGGGTGGGAGTGTGGGTGGGAGGGTGGGTATGGTGGGAAGAATAACTACATTCCTAAAGTCATACTTATCAAATTTGTATTCCTTAAAAAATAAATTTAAAAAAGAAATGCTTCCTTCCCCTTGCCTATTTCTTCTGTTTCCTGGCTGGCTTGACAATTCATTCAGGAAAAAAAAATAGTTTATGAAAACTGATCACCAAAGGTGGAAGCAGCCCAGAGATCAATGAAAGAGGACAAATCCAAGATTATGTAGAGTATAATTTTTCAGAGGGACTTATGGGCAGATGCATGGTTTCGGCCAGCCAGAAGACATTGATCTCTGCACCAATGCACAATGACATGAGAGAAAAAGTGTTTTAGAGACAAAAGTGGCCTGCAGCTAACTGAAGTACTCCTGGACTTCCTCAAGGCATACATTCCAGGCACTAGATAAAGGACATTCCAGGGTCCAGCCTGGCAAGACAAGCCTAGTGGATTATCTCAATGACTTTGTCTATCTCATAAGGTTTGGGATGATTGTTGGGATTACCTGAAGACAAGAATTGCCTTTACAACCCAAAAGACTACGGTATATCAAGCTGAATCCCAGTACTCTCTCACACACTTCACCTCCTGATCTCCATACCTGCAGGTCACAGGGGTGATCCAGGGCCAGCCGGAATACCAGGCTCAAGATTTCCAACGCTCAACATTTTGCTCAAAGGTGACAAAGGCTCTCAGGGCTCAGCTGGCTCCAGTGGATTTCCTGGCCTCAGAGGTAACTGGGCAGGGGGTGGGTAAGAGCAATGCTCAAAAAGGGGTTTTACAAAAAAATTTGGCTTCCTTCCTGAGAGAAGGCCTCGAAGTACAAAGACCTCACAGAGCAATAGTTTGAGTGGCAGTAAGGGGTGTTCAAGAAGGGTGCCATCCCTGCACTTGAGGGGTGCCTGAGGGGTTGAACTACAGAGTGTGCTACCTCTGGAGAAGCCTGGCAGATAGAGGGGCATGTGCACCGAGCTGCTGTCCTGGTGCTGGAACTTTAGTAGCCCTGACATTGCCCCATAAGGCTAAAGGCGCTCCCACTACCTACCACCACCCCTAAACTGCCACCTAAGCCTGTACTTGGTCTGTGACCCAAGGAATGTTCACCTTGGTGAGCAGGTAGTCACTTTCCAAGACTCTTTTTTCCAAGCCCTTTTGTTTCTTTCCCAGGAGACAAAGGAGAGACTGGACTCCCTGGGCTGCCAGGCCTGCCTGGAACTCGTGGCCTGCCCAGCACCATCAAAGGGCTTCCCGGAAATCCAGGCCCTTCTGGTTCCACAGGACTGCCAGGTTTACCTGGTCTGAAAGGGTCTCGGGGAATTATGGGTTTCCCAGGAATGCCAGGAAAAAGTGTAAGTGTGACCAGATCTTTGTCTCACCACCAGGGAAGAGGCTCCATAGCAGAAGGACATGCCCCTGTTTTCCACCTTTCTGACCCCAGCCCCAGTGCCCAAGGGCATCCTTAGATAAAGCCCTCACCTGGGATCTTCTAGAACTTTCCCTCCCTTCCCTGAACATTCCCCCCTCCATGCGTTTGTCCACATTTTCTCCCAAACATGGCAAAGCTTCCCCCCCACTCTGCGATCCCAACACCTGCTTGCCCCTCAGATCCTACCCCAGATACCATCTCCTCCAGGAGTCCCTGAGTTCCTGCCACAGTGACACTAAATATGCTTCTCACTGCTTACATGGATCTTTGAAGGTTCTGTGAGGTGTTGAACTTGCTCAATGAGATTACTAGGGCTTGGGAACCAGAAACAGCTTGCATGCTTCTCTGTACGCATCCCACTGCCAGCATTCCACATTGAACTTGGCACACGGTAAAACTTCAGTACAGACTTCTTGGTGTTTTGCTGAAATGGTCTTTGGAAGGTCTACAAGTGGCAGCAACAAGCCAAGAATCAAGCCCACTTTCTCTGAACTCTTAAAAGGCAGAGAAGAATAGGGTTTGAATCTCAGCCCCATCACGTATTATTAGCTCTGTGATCTTGTGCACATTGCTTAACTTCCTCTGTACCTCATTTTGCCCATCTGTACAAAATGAGAATAATATCAAAATGTCCTTTTGGCAGTAGTGAGTATTAACTGAGATGATATATCTAGAGGACTTAATATTATATCCGGTACATGGAAGTCTCTATATAAACAGTTGGCAGTATTGAAGTGGGGAGGTCTAAAGAAATGGGCCGCAAAACACTACACACACACACACACACCTGAAACAATTGCAAAATAAGTCACTCTGCACTGGGTGGTGCTGACTACTCACATGCTAGTATAAGTGGACACCAATGGGAAGGCGTTATTGGATGAGGAGAAGCCCAGAATTAGTTGTGGATATGGCGATATGCCAGATAGAAGCCAGGCAAGGGAGCAGGCAGAATGAAGGAACTGTCTTGGGTTGTAGTCCAGTGTGCACAGTGATCCTGCCCAGTACTCAGCATCCAGCATAAAGCACCAAGTGGCATATGTTTTCACTGGGTACTGAGTACATCTCCGAATGAACCCAAACTGTGCCAGACAGCAGAGAAAGAACTGTGCTGATGGCAGCTGACATGCCCGATTCCCAGACTCAGATAGTGAGTTGGACATTAGTCCATGTAGGCAGCTTTTCCTGTAAAAACTGGTAACCTTTGCCCAAATTCAGATTCTAGCATCTGTACACATGCAGCCTGCTACCTAGTGGCAGAAAGGTCTTATGTTCTTTGCTAGTCTTTAAAAAAAAAAGATTTATTTATTTATTTGAAAGTCAAAGTTACAGAGAGAGAGAAGGAGAGGCAGAGAGAGAGAGAAGTCTTCCATCCACTGGTTCACTCCCCAATTGGCTGTAACGGCCGCAGCTGCACCGATCCAAAGCCAGGAGCCAGGAGCTTCCTGCAAGTCTTTCCCACGTGGGTGCAGGGGCCCAAGGACTTGGGCCGTCTTCTACTGCTTTCCCAGGCCATAGCAGAGAGCTGTATTGGAAGTGGAACAGCTGGGTCTCGAACCGGCACCCATATGGGATGCTGGTACTGCAGGCAGTGGCTTTACCTGCTACGCCACAGCACTGGCCCCCTTTGCTAGTCTTTCACGATAAAGCAACACTTCTCATATGAGTCTCCAGAGCTTTGGTGATGGGGGTGGGAGTTGACCATGGAGCACATCAAGTCCTAGATGAACTGCGCTGATCTGTGTTTTCTGAGATACTCACTAGAGCACCACACCTTGATTTCTCAAGATTCCAATTGTTTAGACATTATTTATTTCCTTTCATTTTATTTAAAAAGCAAAAAGAAAGAGACATAGAGACACTGTCTGCTGGTTTGCTCCCCAAATGTCTATGACAGCCAGGGCTGGACCAGACTAATGCCAGGAGCCTGGAACTCTATCTAGAATGCCTATGTGGGTGGCAGGGACCTGAAAACTTGAGTCGTCACCTGTTACCTCCCAGGGTCTGCGTTACCATTACCAGACTGCTGTATTGGAAACAGAGGAGCTGGGACTCGAACCAGGCAATTCAGTATGGGATGCTGGCATCTCAAGGAGCATCTTCACTGTTACACCAAACGCCCACCCTGCTGGGATTCCAATTTTGATAGGCAGTGGGAAGTTCTGAATGGCAAGATGAGAATTGACAGGCAGATCAAACTCTTCGCCTACAAACCCTGAGTATGCACTTCCACCCTTTGCTCAGCACCTTCCCATTTGCAGGATGCACTTCTTCAGTGCACACCTGCCACAGGGTGCATGACACATCTCTGGGGTAGCGGCTGGTGGGCGAGGAGGGGAAAAGAGGGTAGGTGGCCCTGAGCTCTGAGCCGGAATGACGATTCACATATTGCTTTGAAGGGTTCGCAGGGTCTCAATGGGACCCCTGGACTCCCTGGATCACCTGGTCCCCAAGGCTCAAAAGGTGAGGACCATTTTCTCTCTTTTAGTGTGTTAGCGTGTTTTTCTCAAGTAAGGGCTCTCTTGGGGGTCCTGTGTTTAGGAGAAAGTGCATTGATGTACGTTTCCCCTGTGGCCAAACTCCCTGTGCAGTCCTTGTGCTTCCAAGACATGCAAAAAAGCAGCAGTCCCTACCCAGATCTCCCTCTTGTGACGTTCATGGAGCCCAGGGCAAGGCTGTCCTTTGACTTTGTGGTTTGACCCATCTGTCTGCCTTCCAGATTCAGCAGCAGAGGAAAACCTTGGCTCCAGATAGTTTCTTTCCCAGTGAACCCAGACCACTAGGCAGGAAATTTTCCTGTTCTTACTGGCATCACTGTTCCATTCCGGTGACAGTTTATCACTGCCCCATTCCAGTGATGGTGTATGGCCCCTCCTACCATCTTCTCTACCCGGACTGAGCCTAATGATATATTTCCCTACAGAGATAGTTTACGTATGGCAGCATTCCATGCCAGAAGCCTTGTAGAATCCTAGTTCGTGGACTGTGACTGGGTACCTTTCCCTCTTATTGTCAAGGCGCTCCTCTGTCTACATTGAATCTGAAAAGATTTTGTGTTCAAGTTATCATTGGTACAAAATGACCTCTGGCTTTTTCTGCCCATCTGAACGATGTCTTGCTATCCACAGGCGATCAAGGCCAGACTTTTAAAGTTTCTGGTAACCCAGGACCCAAGGGAAAAACTGGAGAGTCTGGCCTTAAAGGTAAGGTTGCTATATTCCTGACTCATGGGCCTTGCACACTGAGGATTGGAAGGGATTTTGGAGGTGAAGCCCCCAGTTTTGCAGCTTCTATCCAGAGCAGAAACATACCTATCCACAGTCGTCCTGTGTAAACAAGCCTCCTCTTCCTTCAAAACTCATAGGCTGCCAAAACCTTTTGGGATGATGGTGTTGATTCCCCTAGTTTATATATTATCTAAACTCTACTTCTGGGCCCTTTTTCACTCATTGCTCCGGAGGGCATCAAGAGCAAGCTTACTAACTCCTCAATTGGGCGGCACCTTCTGCATGTGAAGGCAGCTGCCACTATCGTTTTCAGTCTCCTCATCAGCTCTTGCCCCGCTCAGCACCTTCCCATTCAGCCCTTTCTGTGGAAGAACACACTGCCAGACATGGGATCTGATCACTCACCTTTTTTTTTTTCTGGTAGGACAAAAAGGAAAAGATGGGCCAGCTGGTGACATGGGTTTCCCAGGAAACAAAGGTGAAAATGGAAAAACTGGCATTGCTGGAGATATTGGCCTTCCTGGTTCCCCAGGTATCATGGCACAAGACAACCTTATCCCCAGAGTTCATTTGAAGCCATGCGCCATTGTGAACTTTTGCTTCGATTTCACATTTAGGACTTCCAGGGATAGCAGGTGTGAGAGGAGACCCAGGACTTCCAGGTTTCTCAGGTCACCCAGGGGTAGCTGGGCCCCTGGGATCTTCTGGCTTAGTAGGACCCAAAGGTATGTGTGTCAAGGAGACAATTGGGGGTGGGGGGGAGTGTCCTTCTATCAATAAAGGGCAGTGAGTACTATCCCTTAGAAGACACTAGCTGGGTTAAGCCTTGCCTGGGCTGAGTCACTGACGGGGCCACAGGAGGAATAGCAGAAAAGGAGGAGACAGAGAAAGAAAGGTGGGCAAGCATGAGTGGAAAGAGAAGAATGTAGGCTCTGTGGGAAGAAGAGTCAGGGAGGGAGGTTGTCACTATGGCATGTGAAGTCTCTCCCTCATTTAGAGACTGGGCGACAAGCCTCTGAGAGCTGGCACCTCAAGGTCTGGGTACTGCTACCCTGAGTTCTTATCCGAGATACCTTGTTGGCTATCATCCTACTCGTAAAGCTATATTTGTCTGACAAGAGTCATGATGCACGGTGTGGGTTACAGGTGATCTATTCTCTCGTAGTACATTAAGTAATATGTCCAGAAAGACCAGGAATTTACCATGAGGACATTGTAATGCCTTTAGGGGCAGGCAGCTACCTGTTGCTGAGCCTTCACGATTCAAAATCGCAGGAGCCATTTCTGATGTTCTCTCCTCTCAGGCTCTCCTGGACTTCCTGGTTTACATGGACTGAATGGACTTCCAGGCACCAAGGGTACCCATGGAACTCCAGGTTAGGAAGACTCTCACAGGCCACGAGGAGGGGACCAGCTCTCCTAGAATGCTGGAAGCTGGCTATGAGTTCTTGATTGTGGTGTAGCCCATATCTTTGAATTCATAGATCCCCTTCTCAGCCTGCAACCTGACATTCCTTGACATGAGAAGAAATGAGAATTGGGTTTGTCTTTCTACCTATATGGGGTACTGTCACTACAGTACTCTGTCTTCGGTGTCTGTTGGCCAGGCCTTTCAGGCCCTGAGCACATGAGCTAGTCACAAGGGCCTCACCGCCACTGAGTTCCTTTGCCTCCTCCTGCGTCTCCTCCTAGGACCCAGTATAACCGGCGTGCCTGGGCCTGCTGGCCTGCCTGGAGCCAAAGGGGAAAAGGGCACACCAGGGATTGGCATCGGAGCCCCAGGGAAGCCAGGTATAAGAGGACAAAAAGGCGGCCAAGGTAAGTGAGCCCAAATCAGGCCTGTGAAGCTGAGCATGGCCGTGCTGGGGACGCAGGTATGGGGTTCATCAGGGCCATGTCTTTAGGTGTCTGGGAATCTCAGGACCTCATGAGAACTCAGAACTGCTGAGAAAAAGAGGATAGGCCGTGCCTAGAGCTTTGTGGGGAAGAGGTATCACAGAGCAGTTCACCAAGTCCCCTTAGCTTCCACAGCCCCTCGTCTTCCTTGTCAACCTCAAGGCCTCTCTTTCCTTCTTAGCCACAGTCCAGGTTTAATGGCTGTCAGGGAAGGGGCTTGTGCGAGTGGTAAAACATTGGCCGGGATCCCCTCAGGGTCCAGTGTGGGTGGCCCTCCCAGGGCCCCAGGAAGATAGTATGGCTGCCAGAAGTAGCGGCAGCCTAAGAGAACACAGGTCTCCTCCCTCCCCCAGGGCAAGCCCACAGCATGCACTCAGTTAGCATTTATTGGGTTCACTGAAAAGCAGGTTCCACACTAATCTTAGCTCCCAACTGATCATCTTTCATCAAGACCCTTTCTGAGCCTCCTTTTCCATACCTTTGAAAAAGGTAGAGTGGATCCTGATTTTTCAAATTTTCTTAAGAATGGTCTGAACACACACACACACACACACACACACACACATTTATATCCCAATTAGTGCAAACCTAGAAGTGAATTAAGTGTAGCTTCATGGTTAAGCATACAGGCTCTGAAGTCAGATTGACTGTGTTCAAAGTCCAGCTCCACCTCTCACCAGCTGTATGTCCTTGAACTCCAAAGGAACCCTCGGTTTTCCTGTTCTGTAAAATGGACAACATAACAGAACAAAGCTCACTGTTTTGGGGAGAAATCAACAAGGACTGAAGTTGTGTGTATGAAAACACTGAGTTTCATGCTGGCCTCTCTATTATTATTGTGTGTTACCTGCAGCATTCGTATTGCCAACATGTTCTGTGCCTCCTAGTTGTGGGGCCCGAGGCCTCAGCACACTTTGTTTATGGGCATGTTTGGACAATGTGTGTGTTTGGACAATGATCAACATTTCCCAGGAACTATATTGGTCCGCACCAACCTGCTCTTTCCTGAAATCCAGCAGGTACTCCAAAGAAAGGACTCAAAGCAGGGACCAAGCCTACAGAGAGAGAGCGACCTTTTTTTCCACAGGCCATGGGGAAGAGGGGACCACATAGAAGGCCAGGAACATTTCCTTTTCTGTTTTCAAATCCAGCTTTTGAATGCCTGGTCATTAGATTATCCATTTCCGTCAGCTGTCTGAGGAAATAAGATCACAAATACAAATGCAGTAACGGCACGTGTCAAGATAGATATATTTCAGAGACATAATGTTGAGTCAAAAAAAAAATCACAGAGTACATTTGGTCTGATTCCATTGATAAATGTCCAACACAAAACTTTTTTTTAAAAAAAATTGACAAACAATGATTGTGCATATGTGTGGGCTACAGTGTGGCATTTCACTATGATCACAGCAGAATGATCAACATTTCTGCTTCTTTGCCATGACTTTATGATTGGAAGCTCAGAGCTTCTCTCTTGTATTTGTTCATACTATATCTACAAGGTTACTGTAAATGCAAAAATCAGGAATGGCTGCTTCTAGAGGGAGGGTAGGGGGTGGAATATGGGGGCATACAAAGAAACTCAAAGGGAATTTCACCTTCCTTTTTCTTAAATTTGGTCCTTGGAACACAGGTAGGTGTTCACCGTATCACAATTATTCTTTACATATTATTTATAAGCATTCTGTATCCTCTTAATATCTAATTAGAACAATTTGTTTAAAAACAAAATGGACAATATCATGTCCTCCCCATGAGAATCTATGCTTGATAATGGAAGTCAGTATAAAATGAGAATTTACCCCTAAGAAAACTCCATAGTGTAATCCTTATCCTTACAATATCTTTATTGAAATAATTTGAATTGTACTTTTACACTAAATATTTAGAGGCTACATTTGTATATTTAGGGTCTTTAAATTCTTATTTAAATTATTTGAAAGGCAGAAAGATACACACACACACACACATACACACAGATCTTCTATTCACTGGTTCACTCTCTAAATGTCTGCATCAGCTAGGACTGGGCCAGGCCAAAGCCAGGAGCTGTGCACTCCATCCAAGTCTCCCACATGGGTGACAGGGACCCAAGTACTTGAGGCATCGTCTGGTGCCTCCTGGGATACATATTAACAGGGGCAGGACCAGGAACTGAACACATCTTATAGGAGATGTAGACATGCCAAGTGGTGTCAACTACTATGCAAGATGCTACTACCACATTTAGTTATTTTTAAGGTTTTGACACTGGAAGGAGTTATGAAAATAAGCCAATTTGTATTTTCATCTGCTCTTTTGAAATGTTTTATTCTTTAATAAATTTTTAATTTTTTTATTTATTTGAAAGGCAGTCAGAGAGAGAGAAAGAAAGAGAGATAGAGAGGGATAGAGAGAGAGTGTGAGAGAGATTTCCCATACACTGGTTTACTCCCCAAATGCCTGCAACACCCTGAAGCCAGGAGTCAGGAATCCAGTCTGGGTCTTTCATGAGTGGCAGGGACCCAACTACTTGAGCCATCGTGTGCTGCCTCCCAGGGTGTGCATTAGTAGGAAAGTGGAATCAGGAGTAGAACCAGTACTGAGACCCCGGCACCCCAGTAGGGGAGGCAGGCATCCCAAGCTGTGGCTGCACTGCTATACCACATGTCTGCCCCAAGGGTTTTCTTGTTAGTCAAAGAAATGCATATGCTTTCCATACTACCTGGGGTCAGTAGTACCTTCATTTCTGATTTGATAATATATTGGTGGAATTTTAAAATCGAGAAAGGTAAAGGGAGGAGAAGGCTCTAAAAACGGCCTTGGGAACTTGTGTCATCTGTGTGCTGCCCACACTAACTCTATAATAGGTAGATACGCCCTGTTTTTGCATAAGTCCAGTGTATATTGATATAGACATATATATATATGCACAAAGCTATATTTTCAGGGAAAAAAAGAGTCCAATTTGTCTTTCTTTTCAGGTGCTTTCCCCTATGAAAAAGAAAACCTCTTCAAAGGTCCATCAAGACACAACTGATGTGCCGTACCTAGCGTAGCGCCACGTGGCTCAGCAATGAGCTTTGTTTTATGTTTATTTTTCTTTTTTGCAGAACTAAAATAATTGAGAGAATTCTCCCAACATCAGTTTTTCCCTGCCTCCGATTTTCTCTGGATTCCATTCATTAATGAACTGTTTTAAAGCACCTGAATTCACCAATCTCCCCTCTTCTTTCACTAAGTTTTCATGGATTTACTATCTTTTTAGATGAAATACAAGAGAGGAAATTCACCATTAATGCTTTTGGATTTTCTTTTCACAAACAAATTAGAATCTCAACCAGCAGAGCAGCTTATCAACTGGTTGGAATTGCTCTCTCCTCATTTGAGTATCTTCTAGATGCCAAAGAAACGAATACATTTCATCCGTGCTACATGTTTAGTGTGAACTTGAACATCTGGGCAAACACCTTTTGATATGTTTGAGATTACCATCTATGTATTTGATATACATACTAAATAAACCTTAAGCCATCCGGTGGACAGTTTGGTTTTGAACACACTATAATAGAAATCATCCCACAAACAGAAAACATGTAACGCAGTATTAAAATTTCAGCCTGGGCCCAGCGCCGTGGCTCACTTGGCTAATCCTCCGCCTGCGGCGCCGGCATCCCATATGGGCACCGGGTTCTAGTCCCAGCAGCTCCTCTTCCAGGCCAGCTCTCTGCTGTGGCCTGGGAGTGCAGTGGAGGATGGCCCAAGTGCTTGGGCCCTGCACCCGCGTGGGAGACCAGGAGGAAGCAAGCACCTGACACCTGGCTCCTGGCTTCGGATCAGCTCAGTGCCGGCCATAGCAGCCATTTGGGGGATGAACCAACGGAAGGAAGACCTTTCTCTATGTCTCTCTCTCTCACTGTCTTAACTATACCTGTCAAATAAGTAAAAAAAAAAAAATCAGCCAACAGGGGCCAGTGTTGTGGTGTAGCAGGTGGAGCCACTGCCTGTAACACTGGCACCTCATAGGGGCACCAGTTCATGTCCAGGCTGCTCCCCCTCTGATCCAGCTCTCTGCTATGGCCTGGGAAAGCAGCGGAGGATGGCCCAAGTCCTTGGGCACCAGGATCCGCATGGCCAACCCAAAAGAAGCTCTTGGCTCCTGTCTTTGACCTGGCCCTACTTGGCCATTGTGGCTATCTGAGGAGTGAACTGGCAGATGGAAGATTCTCTCTCTCTCTCTCTCTCTCTCTGAAAAATAAATAAATCTTTTTAAAAAAAGATTTTTTTAAAAAAATTGAGCCAACAATAGTCCATATATCATCTCAGAAGTGACTATTCAATTTAGCCAAAAAGGGAGGAGAGAGTTAGTACAGAGAAGTTTGTTCTACAGGCAGCTAAGCAATCATTCGGCCAATATCATGAATGCCCTGTAAAAGATTGTTTCCCGGCCGGCGCCGCGGCTCACTAGGCTAATCCTCCGCCTAGCGGCGCCGGCACACCGGGTTCTAGTCCCGGTCGGGGCGCCGGATTCTGTCCCGGTTGCCCCTCTTCCAGGCCAGCTCTCTGCTGTGGCCAGGGAGTGCAGTGGAGGATGGCCCAGGTGCTTGGGCCCTGCACCCCATGGGAGACCAGGAAAAGCACCTGGCTCCTGGCTCCTGCCATGGGATCAGCGCGGTGCGCCGGCCGCGGTGGCCATTGGAGGGTGAACCAACGGCAAAGGAAGACCTTTCTCTCTCTGTCTCTCTCTCTCTCACTGTCCACTCTGCCTGTCAAAAAAAAAAAAAAAAAAAAAGATTGTTTCCCAGTTTGCCTGAGAGCCCCAAAAGACAGCCCAGAAGGCTGGAGAGCTCAGGCAGGCACAACACACTTGCTGCCTCCTCTGGCATCAGGCAGGTGCCTGCTGGGGCTGCCCAGGGCCCGTGGCCAACGTCTGTCTGTAAGCTTTGTGCAGCCTCTGGCACAGCTGGCTAACTTCTGAACTGCTATCTGACAAGGACCACGCGTTCAAAAACACCGGGGACACCCAGATTGCAGGTGTTCAGTCATACCTGCTTTTCTTTCTGATTTGGAGAGAAGTCAGCCTACACTATGTCCATGACCAGTGAGATTGGGAAACTCGAACTTCCCGCAGCTCTGTCAGTGCAGCGCCAGCTGGAAAGAGGGCTTGTGAGAGCCCTGCTCAGCGAGGATCGCCTGCTCGCTGGGCAACAGTGAGAGGAGCCCCCTGCTGGCGTCCCCTGCTCTGGCTCCTCCCTAACGGCTCCCATTGGCTCTGAGAGAGCCTGGCCCTCACGCTGGCACACAAAGTCCACCCAGCCCTTGTCCTTTACTATTTGCAGGTTTCCCAGGTCTCCAAGGTCCTGCTGGTCTCCCTGGTGCCCCAGGCATCTCCTTGCCCTCACTCATAGCAGGACAGCCTGGTGATCCCGGGCGACCAGGCCTGGATGGAGAACGAGGTAAAGACAGGACCGGGCTTTGCCTTCCCGTCAGTCCTTAGGCCTCCCGCAGCAGCCACTCCCTGCTCACCTGCCCCTCTTCCCTCTTCTGATCTTCTCCCTAGGCCGCCCAGGCCCCCAGGGACCCCCAGGGCCTCCTGGGCCATCCGCGGATCAAGGCGACTCTGGAGACCCAGGTTTCCCTGGAATCCCTGGGCCTCGGGGTCCCAAGGGAGACCTAGGAATTCCAGGCTTCTCTGGCCTCCCTGGAGAGCTCGGACTGAAAGGTATGGCTACTGGGTTGGCTGGTTGGGGGCCTCTCGCACTCCCTGATCCCAGATAGCCCCTTCCTCCTACAGCCCTGGGAAGAGAGGCCGATGGATATTTCTCCTCCGGGCTTCACCGCCACCTGCTCCCCCCACCACCACCCCCAAGCCATGCCCTGATCGGCTTTCCTTTGGATTTTGCCAGGCATGAGAGGGGAGCCTGGCTTCATGGGAATCCCAGGCAAGGTTGGGCCACCTGGAGATCCAGGCTTTCCCGGCATGAAGGGGAAGGCAGGGTCAAGAGGTAAGTTGAGAGGTCCTGCTGGGCTGCTTCAGAGCCCCAGGAGGGTAAGGCCCGAGGGGCCAGTGTGGATCCCCGGAGAGGACACTCGCGCCTCCATCAGCTCCCACACTCACAGGCTGCCTGCTGCGTTGCTGCCCTCGATCCTGCCGCTGACCTCCTTGCTCTGCGCTGTTTCTGCATTCATGGCACCCAGATCACCGTTCACACCCTGTGAGCCCAGAACAAGCCCCGACATAATGGCTCTCGATGTCCTGCGCTCACCTACTGTCCCTCTACTGCTATCCCCGTGGTCCCAACCACCACCATTTCTCCTGCACTATGCTTCTCCCTATCCTACTCCCACAATCACTTTTCTGCACACTAGCCAGAGACCTCATATAAACCCAGAAATCATACAGTGGCTTCGCATGGCAGAGAAATAACTGTGGCCCACCACACTACACTATGTGACATGTTTCCCTTCAGCCTCATTGCCAGCCATTCTCCCTTGACTTCTCACTTTGCCCCTGCCACACTAGCCTCTTGCAGTTACCCAAAAACACTGAGCCCTGGCCTACCACAGGGCCTTTGCACATGCAAGTCCTACTTCCTGGAATGGTCTTGTCCCCTCCTCTTCCAATGGCTAGCTCCTTCTACTGTTTCAATGCTCTCAACTTCAATGTCACTGCATAGGAAGGGTGACTGACCATTATCTACAGCAGATTCCTCCACCCTATAACACCATCTTCCGCCTCCCAAAGTCACCGCACTGATTCATTTCCTTCATAGCACTTGAATGATCTGTTTACCTACTACCTACCAGACTCTGCCCTGGGTCCTGAGGAGGTAGGACAAATAGGATGCAGTCCTACCCTCAAAGGAGCTACCAAGCCACTGGGGAGCTAGATGGGCAAAGTGCCACAGGTGGGAAGGGCTGTTACCATGGTCAAGTGTCCAGTGGGGATTATGGAGGCCAACAGAGAGGGCAGAAAGGAAGGCTCCTAGCCTGCCTCGGTGCCTCCTCCTCTGCCTCGACCTCACGTGCCCACATGCCCCCTGCCCGCACGCAGGCTTCCCCGGCCCCCAAGGTGCTCCTGGACAAACGCCCATTGCAGAAGCCATCCAGGTTCCTCCGGGCCCCTTGGGTCTACCAGGCATTGATGGCATCCCTGGCCTCACCGGGGACCCTGGGACTCCAGGCCCTGTCGGCCTACAAGGTAAGCTGGAGGCCAGGGAAAGGGGACTTGAAAAGGTCGTGGCTGCCACTAGCTTGGAACCCCAGTTCTGGAGTTGGGGGGGCGGGGATTGGGTAATCATCACCCTCACCTAGCATTTCCTCTGCCCCTTCAGGACACACCCACACGACCTGCCCCGCGGGAGAAGGGCCCGGCCAGCAGGGCCGTTATTGTCGGTGTTCTGGAGAGCGTGTGGGCATAGCATGGCCACGCCTCCAGACAGCTCCTCCCCCCACCTCCCTTTTTTTTAAAAGTGCAACTGAGATGGAGTGAGTGTGGTGGTGGATCCAGGGAAACACGAGGCAGGCGAAGAAAGCCCAGGGCTAGGGGAACAGGAATCCTGCCTGCTGCTTTTACTTTTGAAGACTTAGTTGTTTGAAAGGCAGAATAGGAGAGACGGAGAGTGATCCTCCATCCGCTGGTTTCGCTCCTCAAATGGCTGCAATGGCTAAGGCTGGGCCAGGCCGCAGCCAGGAGTCTGGAACTCAGTGCCCAAGCCAAGTGGGACAGCCGGGACGTGAAGCAGCACTCATGTGGGATGCTTGTGGCGGCTTAATCCGCTGCGTCACAATGCCGGACCCCACCCTCATTTCTGATACAGGCTGCCGGTCTTTGCCCTGCACTCCCTGGTATGGCTGGGGGCGGGGAGGGGGGAGGGAGAGGACAGAAGCAGGCAGTAGGCATGCAGGGACTCAGAAGAGCTAGGTGGGGAGCGCTGTCCCAAGGCAAAGAGGCTACAGGGTACTAAGGACTAGCCCCGCCCCCCGCAGGCTTCAGCCCAGGTGCGAGCTGAGAGCCAGGGCGCCCTCTCCTGGTGAGGCCTGGGCATGCCATGCACTTCCCTATCCCTGGGGCGGAAACTCAGGACCCTGAACTAACTAGCACGCACTCCCCGTGCGCTTTGTCTCCTGCAGGCTCTAAAGGTTTGCCCGGCATCCCTGGCAAGGATGGCTCCAGTGGCCTTCCTGGCCCACCTGGGGCTCTTGGTGATCCTGGTCTGCCTGGACTGCAAGGCCCCCCAGGATTTGAAGGTCTGGTGATGTGACATCTGGAGGCAGTGGGCTCTCTGTGAGGCTTTGAGGCTTGGGGATGGGTCCAGAAACTCAGATCTGGGACACAGTAAGCCCAGTGGCAGAGCGTGACACTATTAGGGGGCTCAAAATCTGGGCTCTTGTCCATGCACGCACCACTGCCTTCTGGGCCTCGGCAGGGCTACCCTGCATTCCAGAGGGCAGAGGACAGCTCCCAGTCCTCGGAGTTCTCTTCCAGTTCCGTAGCAGCATGGCTCCTGCCCTGCACCTCTGCTTTCCACCTGGAGTTCCTGACATGGATGGGCATGGGGGCGGGGCTCAAGGGATCACAAAATTGGAGATGAGGAATGGCTGTCCCTACCCCTGCAGCCTAACAACATGTTGCCCTGCTTATCATCTATCTATCTATCTATCTATCTATCATCTATCTATTTATTTGAAAGTCAGAGTTACACAGAGAGAGAAGGAGGGGCAGAGAGAGAGTCTTCCATCCACTGGTTCACTCCCCAAATGGCCGCAATGGCCTGAGCTGTGCCGATCCGAAGCCAGGAGCCAGGAGCTTCTTCTGGGTCTCCCATGCGGGTGCAGGGGCCCAAGGACTTGGGCCATCTTCTGCTGCTATCCCAGGCCATAGCAGAGAGCCGGATCGGAAGAGGAGCAGCCAGAACTAGAATTGGTGCCCATATGGGATGCTGGCGCTTCAGGCCAGGGCTTAACCCACAGCGCAGGCCCCTGCTGTGCTCATCTTAACCCTGTCTTTTGTTAAAAAAAAAAATCTTTCTTACAATTTGCTTTTTGAAAAAGAGAGAGAAACACAGATCTCCCGTCTACTAGTTCACTCCCAAATGCCCACGACAGCCAGAGCTGGGCCCCACCAAAACCAGGAGCCAGGGACTCAGTCTGGGTCTCCCACATCGGCAACAGGGACCAACCACTTGCTGCCTCCCAGGGTGTGCAGGAAGCAGGAGAGAAACCGGGACTCATCCCCACCAAGAGAGAGCACAGGCCAGGGGTCTACATAGGGCAGTGGGAGAATGTGTGTAAGTGTGTGTGTGTGTGTGTGTATGATGAATGGGGACTCTGTAGCCGGATACATTTGAGCTGGAGTTGTGGCTCTACTGCTGACTGGCGGTGGGAGTGCTGAGCCCCAGTGTGCTCACCTACAAATGGGGGTAATAGCTACCATCTCGCAGGGGCAAGGTCATGCATGTGTGTGCAGAAGGGGTCTCGCGCGCGGCGCGGCACAAAGCAAGCAGCTGCGGTTAGCATGAGCTGCCCTGGGGTCACCCACTCCTGCTCTCTCCCTCTCTCAGGAGCTCCGGGGAAGCAAGGCCCCTTCGGGAGGCCTGGCATGCCTGGTCTGAGCCTGAGAGTGGGCTACACATTGGTGAAGCACAGCCAGTCGGAACAAGTGCCCCAGTGCCCCATCGGGATGAGCCAGCTCTGGGTGGGTTACAGCTTGCTGTTCGTGGAAGGACAGGAGAAAGCCCACAACCAGGACCTGGGTAGGTACCAGCTGCCGGCCCACTGAGCACTGGGGGAGGAGAGGAGGTTGCTGGCCCACTGTTGAGTTGTTGGGTTATCGAGCAGCAGTTCTGGATTCAAATCCTGGTGCTGCCACTTCCTAGCGGTACACTGCGAGCAAGGTATCCAACCTCGCTAATCTTCTGCTTCCTCCCTGGTGGAACAAAGCTAATCCCGGTGCCTGGGCACGTAGGGTAGTGTAAGGAGTACGTGAGCCACACAACGTAAGATGCTTAGAGAGCAACATTTGGCATTGAGGCCTGCAGCCGGGCAGTGCTGACCGCCCGAGCAGTCACCGGACTCCCTGCAGGCGTGCTGCCTCCCAAACACAGCCTCAGTCTATTCACCGCGGCTTTTCCAAAGCAGATAAACCGGGAGTGACTACTCACTTTTCAGAAAGTCCCGCCATTATAAAACTTCCCCCAGCTCATCCGTAATACCGAGGGGACTTCAAAATGTTCATGGAAAACGGCATTAAAGGTTTATGTGGGTGCCACGCATATTTTTTTCAGAAGACATATTTTCCATGGACTTTATGAAACCCCCTCATAGGATCTGAGGGACAGACCCCGCTGGGTGTTCCATGCCACGGGATTGTAAGCCGGGCGCTGCCTGGGCCGGTACAAGCGTACAAGTGGTTCCGTGTAAAGCCAAGGCACTGGCTAGTGCCGTTCCTGGTGGCCCTGCATTCAGCCAGAGCTCACCTGTCCCTGCCACCACCCCTCTTCCAGGCTTCGCGGGCTCCTGCCTGCCCCGCTTCAGCACCATGCCCTTCATCTACTGCAACATCAACGAAGTGTGCCACTACGCCAAGCGCAACGACAAGTCCTACTGGCTCTCCACCACCGCCCCCATCCCCATGATGCCCGTCGGCCAGGCCCAGATCCCGCAGTACATCAGCCGCTGCTCCGTGTGTGAGGCGCCCTCGCAAGCCATTGCTGTGCACAGCCAGGACACCACCATCCCGCAGTGCCCCCTGGGCTGGCGCAGCCTCTGGATCGGCTATTCCTTTCTCATGGTAAGCCCCGCCCCCAGAGCCCAGTTGGGCAGAAATGATGGCTAGTTAGGGGGTGAGGGCAAGACAGCAGTTTGTGCTCAGTGAATCATGGGCGGAGCCCCTCCTACCTCTGTGCCTGCTGCCGTTGGTGTCCCACCCAACGGGGCAGGAGGAAACACTGGGGGACAGTGAGGAAAAAGCTGTTCCCACGCAGGGCTGGGACACACTCTTGCTGGTGAGGCCAGGCATGGCCCGAGTCTTCAACCCATCCCCCTCGTTCCTTCTGGCCGCTGCCGTCTTCTCCTGAAAGGCCAGCTAAGGGCATGCTGCATGTCTAGACCCCTGATGGCATGTCTGCTACCTTCTCCACTTCGGTGGGAAGGCAGTGGCCAGGCACGCCACGTGTCTTGTTAAGCAAAAGAACACCTGTGAGGCCAAGGAGACCTTGAGTCCCCTAGCTGACATTCGGTGCACACCTGGGGATGCTTCATCAAACGGAAGGTCGGGGGAGGGCCAGGACACCTCCCAGGGACAGCCAGCGTGGCAGCCGGGCTCCTCAGAGCATCCCGGCTGAATCACCAGGGCTCAGCTGGGGAGAGCCTGTGTGATGAGCAGTCTTCCTCCCATCCCAGGGGTGCCTGCCCTGGAGGGAGGTGCTTCCTTGTTACGCTGTCTTGTGCATCGGCCAGTTTATCCCAAAGTACAGAATTGTCTCCCCTGTGGCTCTGTTCTGTCCACAGGTCAGATCAGGAAAGGCAAAATCCCCAAGGGCATCCCCAAAGAAGCAGTGCAAAGGCCAGGTACTGAATCTGCTGGCTTAGCTCTGGGGAGAGCTCCTCGCCTTTACTCAGAATCTCTTGCACTTTACACATAATTCCAACATAGCATATGTTCTTCTCCCCTGAACGTGTGTAAGGGTGAGCATTTGGACTTCCTAGTGAGGCCTCCAGAAGCCATGAGACACACCTCCTAAAAAGGAGACACAGGGGGAGAACAATTGAAAGGAGGCCCAAGAATCCCACAGGCTGCACGCCTCCGCGTGGGCCTTTTGCATAAGCACCTCCCCACACCTCCCCCCACACACAGACACACAACCATGCAAACTGTCACTCACCATGGCAAGCCTGAGCCATCTACGAGGGTTAAAATACATGGCGGCGGCTGGTGCCGCGGCTCACTAGGCTAATCCTCCGCCTTGCAGCGCTGGCACACCGGGTTCTAGTCCCGGTCGGGGCGCCGGATTCTGTCCCGGTTGCCCCTCTTCCAGGCCAGCTCTCTGCTGTGGCCAGGGAGTGCAGTGGAGGATGGCCCGAGTGCTTGGGCCCTGCACCCCATGGGAGACCAGGAGAAGCACCTGGCTCCTGCCTTTGGATCAGTGCGGTGCGCCGGCCACAGTGCGCCAGCCGTGGCGGCCATTGGAGGGTGAACCAACGGCAAAAGGAAGACCTTTCTCTCTGTCTCTCTCTCTCACTATCCACTCTGCCTGTAAAAAAAAAAAATTGGCGGCAGCTGTTTTGCAGGGAAATGTGGTGTGCATTTTAGAAACTTGTCTACATGAGAGTCAAAATGGGGAAGTGATCGATGCTTCTCTAGTTGGGAAAGGGCACGTGAAGAGGCACACGGACATTCTCACTGTCCCAAAAGTTCCACAGAGTAAGGGGGTTACTGGGGGTCCGAGTGTCTGACCCCAGGCTGTTGGCTCACTCAGGTGCGTATCAGGCCCCTTCCCTACCTCCTGTGTTAAATAAGGAGTGGGGGGTGGTGGAGGCAGGGGAGACAGGGGCCACCGTTTGTGGGTATGTTGACTCAAGACTGTTGGCTCATGAGCAGCCATCAAAGTCAATGCCAAGGGAGCACACTGAACATGCGGGCTTGGGCTTTTAGGCCAAATATAAGGCCCACTTTTACTCAGCAGCTAACAAACGCTGTAGGAAGCTAGTGGGGAAAATGAGATAACTAGGTGAGTTTCTTTGGGTGCATAAGATTTTGGGACTCACATGTGTACAAGGGGTCTTCAGAGACTTTGTGGAAGATGTATATTAAGGATCAAAAATGCATGGATTTCAAAATTGGCATCAAAATAAACTTATCTTAATTGTATTTTTCCATGAACATTTTGAAATCCTTTCATATGTCACCCTAAAGGATGTGGCACAAATTGAAAGTTTAAGTCATTCTCATAAAGGTCAGTTCAGAGTAAGAGCTATGGATGGTATGCTGGTGGGAGGGTTGGGGGCATGGTTTATTTTATTATTATTTTTTAAAGATTTATTTATTTATTTTGAAAGAGTTACAGAGAGAGAGAGAGAGAGAGAGAGGAGAGGAGAGACACAGAGAGATCATCCACCCACAATAGCCAGCACTGGGCCAGGCCAAAGCCAGAAGCCAGGAGCTTCATCCAGGTCTCCCACATAGGTGGCAGTGGTACAAACACTTGGGCCATCTTCTGCTTTCTCAGGCACATTATCAGGGAGCTGGATGGGAAGTGGAGCAGCCAGGCCTAGAACGGGCGCCCAAGTTGGATGTCAGTATCGCAGGTGGCGGATTTACCCTCTATGCCACAAGGCCAGTCCCCCTTTATTATTTTTAAAAATATTCATGTATTTGAAAGGCAGAGTTACAGAGAGAGATGGAGAGAGAAGGGAGTTGGGGGACATGAGAATATCTTCCATCCACTCATTCACTCCCCAGATGGCCACAATGGCCAGGGCTGGTCCAGGCCAAAGCCAAGAGTCAGGAGCTTCTTTTTGGTCTCCCGCAGGGGCCCAAACACTTTGGGCATCTTCCACTGCCTTCCCAGGTGCATTAGCAGGTAAGTGGATGGAAAAGTGGAACAGCCAGAACACGAACCAGCATCCATAAGGAATGCCGGCACCACAGGCAGTGGCCTAACCTGCTAAGCCACAACACTGGCTCCAAGGGGCATGGTTTAACCAGTTCGTGGAAACTGCATATTCTTTCCCTTACAGTACAGTGCACAGTAGATGAAGGGCTTGGAGAACTGTGTTCTGAGGGCCTGTTGTATTGTCCTGAATTCCGCCTTTTTCAGATGTGTCTGTGGACATTCGGTGGTGAGGTGATTGAACACACCTGCAAACTCAGGGGGACAGCAATAGCCTGAGAAACACTGGTTGACACGTAGCCTTTGGCCCCATGCGATGGGTTAAGTGGGCACAAGGGAGCCTGAAAGGGGGGCATTGCTGGCCCTAAAGGCTGCTATAAGGGAGGATGGGCAGCCCCTGCCCCTGCAGGCCAGAAGCTGGGGCCGCCCCTCGGGGGCAGTGCTTCGGAGCAGGCATCCACGTGTTCCCCCCACGGCAGCCCACACAGCCACCCTGTCTGTTTTAGCACACGGCCGCCGGCGCCGAGGGCGGAGGCCAGTCCCTGGTCTCCCCTGGATCCTGCCTCGAGGACTTCCGGGCCACTCCTTTCATCGAGTGCAGCGGGGCGCGAGGCACCTGCCACTACTTTGCCAACAAGTACAGCTTCTGGCTGACCACGGTGGAGGAGAGGCAGCAGTTCAGGGAGGAGCCAGTGTCTGAAACGCTGAAAGCCGGGCAGCTGCACAGCCGAGTCAGCCGCTGCCAGGTGTGTATGAAAAGCTTGTAGGGTGGCACCTGCCACTCTGCCCCTTGCCCTCCCCTCCCCGTCACAACAGTCACCTCACAAACCTGGCCAGACTGAAGAAGGACGGCCTGGGCCCTTTTGCCAATCTGTCCAGTTGTCTGCTGGAGTCTCATTTGGGCTGGACGACTGGACGTTCCTATCACCCCAACCCTCACGCCCGATAGATGAGTCCACTCTGGATCTGCTGGCCCGTTTCAGTCACCCTGGTGCTACCGTTGGATTTGCATGTTTGCATGACTTTTCATGGCTACCTCGGAAAGATTTGCTGGGCCGCCACCTCCTTAGACTGCTGGCTTTCCTCGCTGTCTTGATCAGAAAGCTCTTCACCATCACTACTGTCATTTCTTTATGTCCAGAGGTCACTACACATGACTCGGCTTAAACCAGAGCCCAGTGTTTCCAGGTTTAAAAAAGAAATCTCTGGCTGGACATTTCTGGATGGCTCCGGTCTGCCTAGTACAAGCCCTCACTATTGAGAGGCCCACAAATGGAACAGGGTGCCAGCCAGGGGCCTAGGTGTGAACTCTGACTCCTTCAGAGTGAGCTAGCCTGGGCCTCCTATGGCATAGGAAGTCCTGAAGGCCAGCGGCAGAAAGGGGCTCACTAACCTCATAAGGTCCTAGACTTCCTCCTGGCTGGCTCTCTCCTCAGCCAGAGACAGAGAACTTGGCCAGGTCTAAAGTAGAGCATTGGATGCAACCAACATGGCCAAGCCCATAAAAGCACTCAAGAATCACGGCCCTTTTTCCTGAGCCGAGGGTAGAAAGGTGCATGGCTAAGGAGGTGTAAATTTTGCTTTCGACTCCAGGAACAAAAAGGTAAAGCTCCATTTCTCAGAAGTCCTTGTTTACTCCAAATGTCATCCAGATGTGTGCCATGTGGCAAATTCAAACTCCAGTGTGTTAGTTCCTTTGCATTCTGAGGCTGTTACAGAGACGTGCCAGAAAAAAAAATGGGCATCCAACTGTTCTTTCACAGGTAGCCTATTAAACGATTTCAATGTGTTTTTATAAACCTAATAAAAATTAAGCACACTCCTCTCATTAGCAGTTAGCAGACCTAGAGCAAGCCCAAGTTGGCTATAAAGTGTTTTGTATTCTGTTTGGGGGGATTTATTTTCGCCATTTTCTGTCATTGCCAGTTTCCCAGAATCCTCTTAGCTCTGTTGACATGAGGCAATTCCTTTCAGGGGATTCTGTTTCCTTAAGTATTATGTCCACTGTGCCAATACAGACAACGCATAATCAGTGTCATCTGAATAATTGCTACCTTCACCTCCTGAGTAATAAGCATGGCGTCGGCTTTGTATATAGCCAATAAAATGAATGAAATCTGAACATGGACTCTTTGGACATTCTTCGATGACAACTTTTCTAACATTCAACACACTACAGTCCGTGAGTTCCCCCTCAGAGCCTTGGATGTTCCTGTTACTGAGAGTGGAAATCGGTAATAAAACATTGAGGCAGGAACATATCAGAAAATGATCAAAGTCAAAGGGCTGGTCTATAAACCCTTGATTCAAGACAAGCCTACAACTGCTTTCCTCCCCTTGACAGGCTAGAGTTTAAGGAGTTTCTACACTTTTGTACTGTCAGGACTATTTATAGATAAATCAAAAGTTGAGAAATGTTATAGTTGTTAAATCTAAGCTGCATATGTGTATGTGTGTATATGTGTGTGTGTGTGTGTGTGTGCATATGAATATTTTATATATGCAGAAAACACACCCTCTGGAAAGGATAAAGAAGAAATTAATAACCTTGGGAGTTTTCAGGGAAGGGAACTCACCTGTGGGAGGGAAAGACATTTCGCTGAATAACATTTTGGATCTTTTGAATTTTGAAGCATTGGAATATATTACCTACTTGGGCGGGGGGCGGGGACAACCACAGGCTCCAAGGAAACAAGTCACTTAGCTTAGTGCTAGCTTCCAAACCAAGGAAAGGAAAATGGGAAGATATTTCAGGGATTTGAGCTGAATTCTCACAGGACAGTGGCTAGCCAAGCGAATTTGATGGATACCTGCTTTAAAACTTAGCATGTTGCTAATCCTGAAATGATTTGAAATGGTATTTGAGGCACCAGTTAAATGTCACCACATGAATGATTCTTTCTAAATATGGCTGCTAACCAAAATAGCATAATTGAAACACAATATATTTTTAATTTCTCGAAAACCAAAAATAAACCATTTAAGTGCATGATTGGCAAGCTACAGCCCGCTGGGCAAACCTAGTCCTCTGCCTGTTTTTGTAAATAAAGTTTTACTGGATTACAGCCAGGCTCATTTGCATGCACACTGTCTGCGGCTGCGTTTGTGTTTCCACAGCAGAAGTTGAGCAGCTGGGACAGAGGCCGCATGGCCTGCAAAGCTTAAAATATTTACCATCTGACCCTTTCCAGAAAAACTGTGCTGACCCCTGATTGAAGCAACCATGATTGGATTTAAGGATAGGGTGATGGCTGACAAAAGTATCAGTGACGCTGGGGACAGTGAGCCATCAAATAGTGAGGTTTCCCTAAGTATGCAGGAGATCAGCAAGTGTACATTGGACATAATTTCCTTGAGAAATGTTTTGACAGAAATTATAATTATGTCAAGTACATATTCAAATAATTTATCAAGAACTTTTTAAATCCCTGATTCAGTTGCTTTATTATTTGAGCAAGAGAACAGATTGCTTCTTAGTATTTAGCCCCAAAGAGGTCACACCCGAAAGGGTGAAGAAGAACAGAGTAACCATCTGTCATCCGGAAGGAAGCTGAGAGCCGCTGTCTGCCTTCCAGACGTCCATCGCCTCACCTCAGAGCTCAACACTCGCTCTGGCCATGGAACACCAGCTGGGAAGCAACAGTCTCCTCCTCATCTTCTCCCTCCGGGGCGCCACGACTGCGCTCTTTCTTTCTAGGGAAGGCTTGCTGTCATGTGTTTGTTTTGCCTTTTGTCTGAGAATTGGCAGTTGGCTCAGTCATGATTGCTACTGAGTTTGTATGCTGTTGGCATATCAGGCACTTGCTGACTAGGAAAGTTTTGTGTGATAAGTTCGTGTCCCTATGGTGCCAGATGGAAGACAGACCTCCAAGTTGAGTTTCTACTACACTACACACTCAGAATCTCAAAATCTTCCTCCAGGTCCAACTCCTCCAGTTGTTCAGTAGAGTCGATGAATTCTGTTGGAATACATGAATGAGAAAGAGAGGAAGCTCGACACTTGGGTTGAAGGGACCAATCAGTACATTACTCAGCAGCTAAGACTACACATTCTTAAAATCGCTTTGCTTGCTAAAGAAAAACTTGTCGGGAGGAGACACAGTTAGGACCATTGCCAGGTGTAAGAAATTCTCTATAAGACTCAGAACAATCCTAGTCATCACAAGGCCTAATTAGAATAACGGGGCCAAGGCTCTACTACCCCCTCGAGATGCCTCTTGAATCATTCATGGCCTCTGAATTGTGATTCTGCACAAGACCAGGAGAAAACAATTCTAGTCGTCTTGATTTTTCATAGAACTTTTGCTTCTAGCTATTCTTCTTTTTTATTGTTCTTTGAGATTGGCGACGATGAGCTTAGCAGAAGATTTAAAGTATAATTTTTTCTGTATCACAAAACAATCGCTCGATGCGGGTCTGCTGAACAACAGCTTACCTGCCCCAGTGGTTGTCACTTCTGGTTTGGCTGGAGGTACAAAGGGAGGCCAGTGTGATGGATGCTTCTGAACTAATTCAAACATCCTTAAATTCTCCTTTAGAATTTCCTGGGGAGACACAGAAACAGCTGTAAACACTACTACACTTCTGTGCAGGTGGCAATGTGTGACCCCAAACCCACCAACCTGGTGGCTGACAGAAGAAAACAAAGGCCTAGCAAATATACCCTTCCTCTACTTGAACCATCTGAAGACCCAGCCATCTTTACTTCCAGATACTGTTGGCCAGCAAAGGAGGATACTGGGAGTAACTGAGGGCAGTACCCATCACCCTGCCTCAATACTCAGTAATCTGCTATGAGGCTTAGGCCCTGTGCCACTTACATTAGTCCAGCTCAATTTTGGGGTGAGATGTTCATGAAGTACTGTCTCCAAAGAAATGTCAGTTAATCATATTAAATCTGCCCCAGAAGAGTACTGGTAGCTATTGGTGTGGGTTCAGGTGTGATCCACAATTTATAGCAAATGTATCCATTTAAATGGCATGGTGTGACCAGAAATGTGATATATAGTTTTACTGCATTCTGAAATGTTAAGTATTGACTTTAGAAAATAATTCTCCTTATATCTCGGGGAATCATTACCTGGGGTATTAACTTTGTATTCACTTGTGAAGAAAAAACTCTTCCCTCCTTACACTTTCAAAGGCTCTGAGAGCCCATCTGTCCAATGTAGTGGTATAAACAGAGTAAGGAAGAATTTCGATTGAGCAATATAAAATTGGCATTTTCAGTTCGAATGGCAGAATATTATCTATTTCATGATTCATCGGCTTAATGAGATGAAGCATCAAGTGTCATCACGGACATCACACACTCAGCATACAAAGTATATCTCAATCAAAAGTTTTGTTTTTCCAGTTTCCCAAAAGTTATACACAATTTCCCACATCCAACAGTTTCTTTGATGCCATAGTTTCTTTTTCTTGCAATACAATCATATCAGACTAGGTTTACACTACTGTGAAAAATAATCTTGAAAAGGAAACATATTGAGTTACTTTCATTGTTTAGGACTAAGAAAAACATACATCTTTACCTTCTGAACAAGGCTACACCAGTTATCAAAGTCTTTTTCTTCTTTGCAGAAAAATCCCTTGGGGGTGGGGGAGAGAAGCAAAAGAACACAACTTAGAATTGCCCTTTGCAACATGGAGCTATGGGCTCAGAATCCCAACATGGGTCCCACTCTCCCCAAGTGCAGTACAGGAAGAAGATTGGCCAGGCTTCTCTTTCTCCTAGTTCATTGCCTCACTTGGACATAGACAACTGTGTTCTCTCTCTCTCTCTCTCTCTCTCTGTCCTTCTCACTTGCTTGCTCTCTTTCTGTTTCTTTCCTTCCATGTCCCTCCCTGCTCAAGCTGTGAGTTCTTCTAACTTGAAGACCAGACTCCAAAGCATGAGGTTAACTGCATCATATTCAGAGTATGCAAACACACATCTATAAAGAATATTCAATAAAACAAGCAAACAAAAGCCAAAGAGCATTTTCAACTAGAAACAACACTGGACAATGTGGCTTTGACCTTCAAGTTATTAGAGTGGGTTACCTGAATAGAGAGCAATGTCAGTCTCCTTCCCTGTGCAACAATGGTCCAAATCAAGAGGAGGACTATCAGCTTGTGCTGGTCACCGTGCTCTGACAGTTGGATTACATGGGAAGAGAGGATGCAGACAGGCCCCAGAACCACTGCTACTTCACAGTGCGTACAGGTAGCAATCAAACTTCCTGTGGGGGAAATCCTGCAACTTCCTGGACTGTGTGCACTGAGAAATGGGCACAGTCCTCCCAGGACTTCTTACTCCTGCATCTCTCCCTAGCTATAATCCACCTTCGCATGTCGACAAACGGAGGCCAAGAAGGAAACCAGGATAAGATGGTAATACTTGGGGCAGGCTCTGGGGCACCATCACCCCATGTTGGAGTGCCTGGGGCTGAGTCACACCTCTGCTGCTGCTCTGGCTTCCTGCTAATGTACAACCTGGGAGGCAGCAGATGATGTCTCAGGTGCTTGAGGCGCCTGCCACCCACATGGGAGACCTGGAAAGGGTTCCTGGATCTTGGCTTTGGTCTGGCCTAGCTCTGCCTGTTGTAGGCATTTGGAGAGTGAAATAGTAGAGGAAAATTCTCTCTCTCTCTCTCTCTCTCTCTTTCTGTGTGTGTGTGTGTGTGTGTATATTGCTGCTTTTCAAGTAAATAAAAATAAGTAACACTTTTTTGAAAAAGAAAAGATGAAGTACTAACAATAACATTCATAGACTACTTACAGTGGGCTAGCCCTGTGCCAAGTACCTGAAACACAATGTGTCCATGTAACCATACAAGAAAGAAGTATGGTCTTCTTCACTGTATAAATGCAGAGACCAAGGCTCAGAAAGGTAAGCAACTCCAGTCTACAGCTCAGATGTGGCAGAGTCTGGAGCTGATTGGCTCCAGGGCCCATTCTTTCCCCCACTACGCTGCGCTGCCTCTTATGGGCCTGGTGAGCAGACAGATTCTTGCCAGCCTACTCAGCAATCGGGCTAACTCCTGGGGAACCAATCTGCAACGGAGTTGTGCCATATCCCCTGGCCCACCCGACATTCAGGTACCCACCAATGCCACAGAAGGATCCAAGTTCAGAATG